GTCACAAAACCGAACTACTGCCCATCCCCTTCACCAACCTCAACAAGAACCTTCAGCTCCCCGTCCATCCAGTCAACAGCATCAGTAGTGAGGACCGCAATGGCCCAATCCTTCTGGCTCTGCACAGGTAGCACGCCATCCGGCAACCAAACCTTGACCTTCCACCCATCCACAATAGTAGACTCGCGAGCTTCTTGCGTAGCAGCGTTCACGGCCTGGAATTCCGCCAAACCGGGGATTTGGCTGGGGTACCGACGGAGAATTGCCTGCTTGACCGTGTCGATGTTGGAGCACTGGCTTGCGGGCAGTTCAAATCCGGGGAGGATGCGCTTTCCGTTTTGCAGGATATTGACGCGAATAGAGGTTTGGCTTTGGCCGTGAGAGGAGTTGGATGTGTTAGCCGGAGTTGACTCGGGCAGAGGGGTGAAGGGTTGGTGGAAGTGTGGGTCGGGTGCTTCGGCCGGGAGGCCGTGTCGGGCGGCGATGTTCTCGCGGATAATGCGAGACACGTCGCGGGTGATGCTGCTTGCGCTATGGGTTTGTTAGTGGGGATTGCAAATGTGTTTGGAAAGGTTGGATCGATTACAATTCGACTCGGGCTGGAAGGTTGCGGCCTCCGCCAATGCGCCATTGGAGATCTGAGGTGGTGTCCGCGTGGACAATGCGGTTGATGTTCGCATCTTCGCAAATCGATGGGCAGTCGTAGTTCCCGTTGTGGACGACGTGGTAATGGCTGTCAACTGCGGCGACGAGCCCACGCCAATCGGGTTGCTGGAGACCGGAGAGAGACCACAGGTTATCAAGCTCAAAGTTCTCGTTGTACGTATCGTAGCAGCGGGCGATCTCTTCCCAGTCACCTGTGTATCCGTCTAGGAGGAGGTCGGTCAGACCGAGGTCCACAGGCTGGGACGAATCCATTGCGGATTGCTGCATCGGCGGTGGGGGAGCCATTGACTGCGACAGATCATCGCGATGGGATGGCTGATTCTGCATTTGCAGATGCTGCTGCTCGGGAGAAAATTCCGGACTATTCGCCGACAACTCTTCCGTTTTACGGCGACGGCGTGCTTCAGCACCACCTCCCTTGCGCGTCTCAATCGCGTATCGGCGTTGCCTTTCGTTGGTGACCATCCGTCTGAGCAAAGGAGTGATCAATGAGATGATCTTGTTTTGGTCACGCGGCCAAGTGTGAATTCTCGTCCCCACGCCATCATTAACGGCATCCTCTCCAAAAAATCGTGCACCATATCCCTCGGCATCGAGGAACTGGCGAACACAGTTCCAAAGGCGTAGCTTGACCATTTCCGAATCTCCCCTTCCTCGCTGACCAACACAATCCTGTCTTTCAGGGTGTTCCTCGTCCAGCATGTAATGTTTAGCAGCTGACTGGAGATGTATAAAGTTCTCCGGTGAAATCCCAAGGGAGGCGTACAGCTTTGAGATGGGAGGCCGTGTGTACTTCTTATTGCTAGAGGGCTGGCGGAACAGCGCCGCCGCAGAATGAATACCTACCGCACGAGCATCCGATAGAGACTGCTGCTGCTCAGGCCGAATGTCTATCTCTTCTCCGGTATAGTCATTGGGCGCTTGCTGTGCGGGATGCGACTGATGCTCTTCTCCGGTATAGTCATTGGGCGCTTGCTGCGCGGGATGCGACTGATGCTGCGTGTCAGAGAGACCCTCGCCAGCCAAGGCGGGGTCGAGGTTATCATGATCCTCATTTCGCTTGCGCTTTTTGGTCGCGGTTCGTGTGAGGCCCGAGGATTGGGGATGGTCGGTGTGGCTAGGTGCTCGCATGTGTCTTCCGCTGCTCATGCCAGTCCCGAAGTTCGCGTCACCGAACCCGTTCCCGGAGAGATCCATGTCTGTGTATGAATCCAGCTGGTGGTGGTGGCCAGCTGCGCCGGCTGCGGCGGCGACTGCAGCAGCGGCAGCCCATTGCGAAACATCTTGGTCTGCGGCAGCTGTTGCTGCCTCGACTAGTCCCGCGAGCTGGTTGTCATTGGGCGCATATCCGTTGTTGGTCAATTGCGCGTTCGGGTCGAGGTGGGGGGCGGTTGTTGTGTGTTGGGGTGGAAGGTCGGAGGAGGTAGTGGGGATATGTTGATTGGTGGAGGAGCTCATAGTGTCGATTGAGACACTCGGTTCGATAAGCTGATAATGTCGGAAAGCGGATATTGAGGTAAAAAGAGCGACAAGATACTTTTGCTTGAGAGGGAATTCGAGGGAAAAATCAAAGTGCGTTCGAGGTCCCCGAATTACCTCTAGAAGGGTACGTCTTCCGAGTCGAAGTTCTTATCCAGCTGTAGAGCCTAATAAAAAGCTTCACCCATTAGAGGTACTGCTTCCTAGAGCACAGTTGTCCCAGCGCGCCGCACCCAAGAGGGCGAGAAGCGCGTCACAGTAAAAAAAAGGTCAAAACAAAAGTATGGAGATGTGATGCGACAGCTTCATTTGGGTTGGCTGATAAGAGACGCGCGACGGTTGCTGTTTGTGCAGTTTGAGGGAACAACAGACAGTGCAAACTGGAAAAACGGCGAGGGTCACGTGATCTTGGGTTCCATTCCAAGTGACCCTAACAACATTTTATACAGAATCTATGACATGCCTGACTTGGATTTGATCATCGAATCTCATGAGCATGAATTTGAAGTGTTTAATAATCATTTCTATCCATTTAAATTTTAGATATAACCCTATCGTGAAGCGCAAGGCAAAAACTGAAACTCTCCATAAGTACACCCAAAACAAGAAATCAGTCCAAGACAATCAAAACAGTCCGACTATAGCAGACCATATGATCCTGTCAATTAGAAGTAATGATGTTGACAGATGATAGAACATGTTCCAAGAGCAGGCCTCCTGCGTCATGACGAGATGGTAAATAGATGGCATATAGATCATTGGCCCACATAAACTTTTGCAATCGCAGGATAAAAAGAAGAAGATTCAAAGAAAGCAGCACTTGATCCAGTCAAGACAGCTTAGAACCCATCCCCCTCTTTCCAAGGACGACCAGCCTCCTGGGCACGGTACTGGGGGTTCTGGCCACGCTCCATAGCAGCAGTTAGAATGCCAATAATCTCCTGCTGCTTCTCCTGAAGTTGGCTGACGAGGACATTGCCCTTCTCGCCGTCAGAGTCATCCGATTCATCAGCAAACCCAATGTCGGACAACCACATCCAATTATCCAATTCCTGCTGGATCTCATTCCTCTTCGCTTCGGCTTCTCGGTAATTATTCCATTCCTCGTTTCCGCCGAAACAAAACCCATACCCGTCACACAGACACACATTCTCCTCAACGCAGAGAACAGGCTGTCCGGTGAAGATAAACTGCCACAGATACTCCCAGATTCGACCAGCGATATAATCACTCAGATCCGTCGACAGCAGCCAATCGCGATAGAACACAAACCGGGCCCGCGGAATGGAGCGGATGCGATCGCGGGACACGGCGAATTGCGCACAGCACGGCTGCGCCAGCACAGACGGGATCTCCTGGTCGGGGAATAGCTCCCCCCACGCACGGGCCAGCATGATCTCCTCCTGCTTCGACTCGTCTTCCTCGAGAGCACCGGGGTGCATCCAGGCCGGACAGCCCGGGCCGAACCCGCAGCGAGTATTCATGTAGCCCTCGCGGATGACACGGTTCAGATTGAGGCGGCGGAGGAGCTGCGCCGCGTCTCCGGCAAAGAGGTTATCATTGTGCCAGGCGAATTGGTGTGAGTGCATGAACACCGCCACGTCTGGGAGCTGGTCGTAGTGGTCGACGATGTAGGTGAGGTAGATCATGACCTCGTGGCCTTTGTTCTTGGGCGGGTGGAGTGGTGCTTTGGGGTCATCTGCGACATAGATGGCGTGGTCCCAATCTGGCAGTTCCTCGGCAATCCAGCTGGTGTCTTCCCCTTTGGTTCGGGTCACAACCATCACCTTGGAGTAATTGTAGCCCGAGGGCTTTGGGATGCCGGAGATGAAGTCCGGGAGAGGGGCATAGAGATTCTTGCTTGTGTGGCTGCGGGTCGTGTTCCAGGCTCCTGTTGTATTGGATGATGAGACCAGGTCGCCCAGGCCGATGACTTGGGGTACGTCACGCCATGGTCGTGAGAGGCTTCGGGTTGTGAAGAAGAAGGCGAGGAAAAAGCAGACGCCGAGAAAGAAGACCGCTCGCCGTGGGAGAAGCATGGACGGAGGGTTGACGAAGCGTACACGGGATTATTATCTGTTGCACGAGATGATGGTTAGCTGTAATGTCACTGTATGCCACTGTGTCGCGTGCACAGGGTGAGAGGATGGATATCGCAAGGTACGGAATGCAGAAAGCTTGGAATGGAGCAGACGGGAAACAATGCCTTACATAGCTTAGTGTAACATTGCCCCGAGATTGTAAGGAGGTGAAGGAAAAGTGACCCGATCTAGATTCAAGGGACTGGGGTCACCCTGGCCGGGGAGGCTGCTGGGCTCTGGGCAAATCAGACGCAAGTGGAGTCGCCGTCATGACGAAGCTTCTTTCGCTGCGATTTATAGCATAGGGAACTTCATATAGAATAGTTAGTTATATAAGAGAAGACCATTGACTAATTAATACGGTGAATATCAGTCATAATGAAGCAATGCAAATGTCATAAAATATTAATCGTCATATGAATTCATCTAACACGGGAAGCAGCATGACGATCTCTCCAAGAATTCAGCTACGCGGCTTGAATCGGCTATGCCGTGGAAACCATAGGTAGATCTACCTCTCTACGCTATACTCTCCTAATCCAATTTTCACTTGCATATGCACATCTTCATTTGACCAAAGTAATCATTGAGAGCAAATACCATGAGATTAAACCGTGGTATAAAAATCGTGAAAAGAAATCCGGGTATGATCTTTTGCTCGCGAACAACGCCATGCAGAAACGCTGGTGTAAAGAACCGGGGAATGGAGAGGGCCGGGCAGAACCCGAAGAGAGAAAAATACACAAGGAGGAGATTATCAAAAGGAGTCCGGGATCAAGCTTCTTCATCGGGAGTTTCCTCAACTGATGCGGTCCGGCGCTTGCCGTTGGATGTGGATTCGGGTTGAGTCTCGGCTTGACCAGAAGCACTACTTGCAGATTCCTCATTGGTACCCCATGTAGTAGGAATAGAGGAAGCTGGCCTGGCGTCAAAGGACCCTCTAGGAGCAACGTCGGTCCATTCTTGAGACGGGGATTCTGCACGATGTTCCACCGAGGGCACGGTGGGTCTTGGTTGCAATACCGGTGGACTAGGGGCCCCATTTACGGGATGGGTTTCAGCATTGACGGTGCCGTGCGCATTTAACCCGACGCTCCTACTCGTTTGGTCCTGAGCAGGAACGGGGAATGTAGAGACTTGAGAGGTTACAGCGGTAGCCACGGCTGGAGCAGCTGGGGATGTCACTGTAGTGGTAGGAGTAGGTTGTACTGTTTGTTCCACACCGCCGGCACTATTATCCATACGCTGGAGAGGAAGGAGGGTCCAACCAGGGGGAAGAGTGAGCCCTTCCGGTAGACGAGGGTCTCCAGAGTTTAGAACATCAGTGCCCGGGTTTGCGCCATACTGGTGGCTCGTTGTGAATAAAGAAGATGCTGGGGGTATGTTTGGAGGTGGAGCCGGTTGGCCGGCTCCAGGTTGACCGGCAGCTGGTCGGTTAACAGCCCTTGCTTGAGCAAGCAACCGCTCTAGTTCCCCCCGAAGCTGGCGCACGTGATTTAGATGCTCTGTAGCAGCTCGAAGGGTGGCAATCTCTTGGTTCAGCCGGTGCTCGATGTGCAGCAACTGATCATTGATTTCAGCAGCGATAGATGCCCCAGCCGCAGCTTGTGGGGCGGGGGTGGGGGCTTGGGGACGGCGCCCGAATCCAAATCCAAACCCAATTTGTCCTCCGGGGGCATTCGCAGGGGGGTTTGCCCGCGGCGCGTTACCTTGGTGAAGATTGTTGAATAAATCTCCACGCACAGCTCCAAAGCCGATGCGGAAGGGTCCAAACTGATAGACCCGAGCACGTGGTTGTGCATCCGCACCTTGTTGGCCTGGCCGAATACCACCATTCTGACCTCCGCGCGCGTTGTTGTCTGCAACCCCGGCAGCTCCCTGAGTTCGCTGTGGCATTATAACAGGACGTCGGCATGTCGGGCAGTTTTGTTGCCTCTCAAGCCAGCTTCGGAGGCACGAAAAGTGCAGGATATGGCCACATGGGAGCTTCTTTGGACGTAGACGGTCAGGAACACGTTGTGGTGCAGGCTCTCCAGCCGCATCAGCCGCCGGTTGCGCCGGAATCATTTCCTCACGGCAGATGATACAGACATCTTCCCGGGAGATTTCCTCTGCTGTTGCATCCGGATACCTCTGATGCATATCCCTTGTCGCGTTTCTGTAACACATGAAGTCCATAATGCGACGCGCAAATGAGCGGATGGTCACAACAACGTCCCGCAGAATGTGGATGGGGAGGCCGTAGAAAGTGAGCAGGATACCAAAGAAGCTCAAATAAATCAGGAGTTTCAACAAATCGGTCAAAAGATCTAGGTAGAAGATCCAACGACCCTTCTCCTCCCACCCGGGCACGTCGATCTCCAACTCATTGACATCGTTTTCGTCGGGCAGATTGTCAGGAGGGGAGGTAGCTCCCGCGCGAGCATGTTCTCGAATCGCTTCGACACGCGCAACACGGATCTCATCCCGACGTTCCTGGATCTTGGCCTTTATTTGCTGGCGGGTTATGGAGATTTCGGTCAACGCGATAACGTATCGCAGGAGGGTGGAGGTCGAGAGGATCAGCAAGATGGCGAATTCGAATCCAAACATCACCATCATATCCGGCCGTGCCTGCGTAATTACAGTGTGCACACAGTACCGTAACATGAAGAAGTTGAACGACACCGTCAGCACGAGAGATAGCGCCAGTCGAGTGTGGAACAACCGGGGATTAGCCGGCGGCTGTTGCTCTAGGAACTCAACGCGGCCTTCGCCAATCCATCCCCAGACCTTGCCGACCAGCAGCGAAATGAACATGACCAGAAACCAGCCTCCAAGTTCGCCTCGGAAGATGGTCATAGCCAGACATGTCTCTGTGACGGCGAACCAGGCCCGCTCGTATAGTTGTTCGGTCTCGATTGGTCGCAAGCGTCCGTAAAGAAGTCGCTGAAGCCAGAATAGGATAAAGCCGGTGACGAGAAGGCATAAATTCGTGAGGATCTGGAGATAGTATAATGAGTTAGGGACTATGGCCAAGCGCGATAAGCCAAACTGGACAACTCACCATAAGATTCGCACTACTCTGAGAGAGATAGACGCATGCCGAATAGAAATTGGACCTCTGATGAAGAGCTTTTAGAAACACACCAGCGGCTAGGACCACTGAGGCCTGTAAACGGGGTTCCAAGGTTAGCGGGTTGTCTTCCCCATCAGCTGCGGTACTTACCCCAGCATAAGCGGCCAGTCTCATGGCTATCGACTGGATCGGACAAGCCGAAGGTCGTGGACCAAAGGAAGGATAAAAAAGGTGGGCGTCTCAAGGTAGCATTTGGCGGAGAAACGAAGTGAATGCCGTTTACTTGGGAGGAGTAGTAGTAGCTTGATCTGGACAGCTTTCCAGAATAACCCGTGGACGCCTCTCCGCATCTTACGTCAGCTACCAGCACGTGCTGCCACTCAGATCTATACATACCTTTACTTAACACATGAGTAGATTCAATTTCACTATAGTGGAGTATATATTTGGGAATCATGTATAGTTTAATATGTTTTGTTGAATTCAAACTATTAGACTCACTTTAAACGTCAGGACATGTCCGTCGATCTTCGATGTTTATCTGATCATATCCGTCATGTGACGTCCCACATTGCCCGCCCTTGGAAGAAGCAACCATTGTGACACCGTTGTCCTCGTCATTTGCATCGAACAGAGAGATATCGTCATCTCTGAATCCTATAATAAATGAATTATCTGGGGTGATGGCCTCATCACCGGCATTGTTCACTGCCTCGCGCAGCCAAACACTAACTTACCTCTTGGCGGTGTGCCCCTTCTCCATCGCCTTCCTAGTTTACATCAATTCATCCATCTCCTTCGTCGTAACGGATCTGATAGGGCTCCAGAATGGAGTCGGAGATGCTGTCGGAACTCTAGGATTCGCAGACGAACTTCTTGCGCTGGTTGCCTGCCCACTTTGGGGTGTCCTCTCGGATCGAATCGGAGTCCGCCATGTAAGCTTGCTACTGGCCCATATTAGGATAATTCAATGATATTGACGCTAGATAGGTATGTACGGCAGGCTATGCTATTGTAGCAGTTGCGCTAGTCGTTTTTGTGCAAGCCACGAATGTCTACCCTCAGCTTCTCTTGGGAAGGTTGCTCTTTAGTATCGGTGGCTCAGCGGTATCGACCATGGTCACTGCAGTTTTGCCAACTGTCACTGGTTCAGCCTTTAATGCCCAGAAATATCGCGCATCTATGTCTTCAGAGTTGACCATCACACCGGAGTGTGCCAGGAATGGTCATTCCGTAGATGTTGATGCTTTCAGGGCATCGCCGTCTGCGCGACTCTCCGGGTTTGTTGGTATGTGTGCTGGCTGTGGTGCGCTCGTGGCACTGGTTGTTTTCCTGCCACTTGCAGCTCGGTTTGAGAAGATGGGATTATCGCCATCGCAGGCCATCCAACGCAGCTATTATCTGGTTGCTGCCATATCCCTGATTATCTGTCTAGTATGCTTCATTGGCCTTCGCGATCTTCCAGGAGAACAGGGCAAAAGTTGGAGTGCACTGTGGAAAACCTCTCACGAGTCGGACGATGACGAAGATGATGACGATGACCTGTATATCCATGGCCCAAGATTGTCATGCTGGAAGCAGTTGACAACTGCCCTCACATTGGGATTCCGAAACCGTAGCATTGGACTGGGCTACGTCGGAGGCTTCGTGGCTCGAGCCTCTTCTGTGGGGATATCATTGTTCATTCCCCTGGCCGTCAATCACTATTACCGCGCATCGGGCCTCTGCGACGAGGAACGTGAACCGGTTCCTGGGTCGGGCTTAGGGGATATCAAGAAAGCTTGCCCACGTGCATACATCGTCGCATCCATACTGACCGGGGTGTCCCAATTGGTGGCATTGATTGCAGCCCCAGCATTTGGGTACCTGACAGACAAATCACGACGATACAATTTCCCCCTTCTTTTCGCAGCATTAGTGGGAATAATCGGCTATATAATCTTTGCCATGCTCCCAAACCCTCTGTTCGAAAGACCCGACGGCAATCCGGGTGTGTTCGTTGTGATGGCTCTGCTTGGAATCAGCCAGATCGGAGCAATTGTCTGCAGCTTGGCTGTGTTGAGTAACGGTATCTTGCGGGTTAGCATCGACAATGAAACATTGAGAAAAATACATGAGGAGCGTCGTGTCCGCGGGGACGAGAATGACACAGAGCCTGATGAAGGCCAGGCTCTTCTTCCCGGGTCGGCCAACCGCAGATTTGAGCATCTGTCCCTCCTCAAAGGCTCCATCGCAGGAGTCTATTCGCTATATGGTGGAGCAGGCATCTTGCTCTTGACCAAAGTGGGTGGACTGTTATTTGACATCCTGTCAGCGGGAACACCATTCTATATTATGGCGGGCTTCAATGGCGTGCTGCTTGTCATAGGAATCGTGTGTGGGGCCATCAATCACTTCGGCTCCTGGCCCGGAAGGACTTGATCAATTTCGCTTTCATTTGTTTTTAATTTTATAAAATTGTCATGGTGGTGCAGGATCTTGTTGAACTGGCTGTGAATATAATTTCATTCTCAGCAGGGAAACGGCCCAAGGTTGAATTATCGGCATTGCCCGGCTGGAAGAGAGCGTACACGTGGTTTGCAGTGTCAGCGGAGAAAAGCAAATTAAACTATTTGACTGAAAAAACGGTTCAGAAGATTAATTAACTCGGCATTCATGGCGTTGCGCGTTCATGAAATCAGGCACGGGCTTTTTCATCGGGCGTAAGTACACGCTAGTTAGTGGCTGACGGGGAAATTACAAAGATAATGGCGACAAGTATGTAAGCATTTTGAACAGTAAACATGTACTTTGTATACCATTCACTTCAAAGGAGTCGAGTTTTCTTATGTACAACCTACTCCTCCGTGTAGACCTTGAAGTTTCCCAGCTCATGTTGATCTCATCCCGCTAGTCTCGAATTAATATGAAGAGCATCAAACAACCTTCCCAAAGAGGCAACCTGAACCAGGGGTCAATTCGGACGCTAGTCCTGAATGAGACTAGTCCTACAGTAAACTTTCCGCTAAAAACGCCTCTAATTTTAAACCGCAAACCTTCGGAGGCACTTGGACGTCTAAGGTTGGATCTTCCCAAGGTTGCAAGGTCGAATATGGAAATGCCCCCCCTTTTTCTAAACACCACCGGCCTCGGGAACCCCTGGGGTTCGTGTTGGCGTCCGCTTGGACTGCACTGTCGGCCAATCCCGCCATGCCAAACTCGTCGCGACGGCGCTATGTTACATGGCCAAAGTCAATTAATTATGCGCCTAACCCCCAATGTCTCTCTCTCTAACACTTCTTCCTCTTTCACACCTTCAGACTCAAACAGTCCGTCATTCACTCTTTCGTCGTCCGACAGTCTTTCGTTAAAATCCAGTCCTTCGTTTTGAGCAATTGTTGATCTACTTCAAGTACCTCGTACTCTCATTCTTTGTGCGATTTCAACATCTTGATTATCACCAATTTTCAATATAAACACCGGTTAACCACCAATCCATTTCCAACATGCGTTTCTACACCGTCGCTTTGTTGGCTGGCGCTACCGCCACTGCCGCGGGTAACACCGCAACCCTCCTGCTGCCCGGCTTTAAGGGCCAGGATCTCGAGGCTAGCATTATTGAATCCGTACGTACCGATTCAGTTGCGCGATCAACGTGCTCTTTGTCCGAGCACCTTGACTAACCATCCACAGAATGGAGATGCGACTACCTACAAGATCACCTGCCCTAAGACCGCTGCGGCCTGTGGTATTGCCGGCGAGGGCATGACCGCAATTGCTGCCCCGACCTCCATGCAGCTGCAGAACATCGACCTCCAGGGAACGTAAGTACCGGCACAGACTTTCCTCGTAAGAAACGGATTCTGATATCAAACACCAGCCTTGGAACTGTTTCCTGCAACATTGCGGGCACCACTTATGCCTCCTGCCAGGCTTCCGCCGGCACCGTGACCCCGTCGGGAACTCTGGCCCAAGAAGATCTGAACTGGATGCCAGTCACTATCTCCGCCACTCCGACCCCGACGTCGACCTCCACCCCAACCCAGACCCCCACTAGCACCAGCACTAGCACTAGCACTAGCACTAGCACTAGCACTTCCACCCCTACCCCCACCAGCACCAGCTCGGAAATCAGCACCAGCACGACCGAGGTGAGCTCCACCTCCACTCCGACGATCACATCCTCGCCGACCCTGGTCATCTCGACCACCAAGAAGCCCTCCTCGGCACTCATTTCGTCTGCCCCTGTGGCCTCCTCCACCCCTCTTGTGGTCGCGTCCACCAGCGCCGCTGCCAGCGGAAGTGCTCCCGCCGCTTCCTCTACTGCCTTCAACGCCGCTGGCCAACTGGCAGGCAGCGTCTGGACTGTTGGTGGTGCCTTCTTGGCTCTGGCCTGCGCTTTCGCGTAAGCTCGACACGGAATCTATCTAAGTTTCCGTCTTGTGTGGGCTTTTGGTTGTGGAAGACAAGTTTTGCGCTTGTCGATTTATTAATTCCGGGGTTTCCGATGTTACTTCTTACGGATGTATTCCTGTATACTCCACCTATATGTGTCCATCTCTTATTCTTTAATGTTTTATACCTTTCTCCACGACAGACTACGATCTAGCGTCTCTTTTTTACACTTGTATCTTCAGCTGTTGAATATACCTTTCCTTTGATTTCCGAGACTTTTCTTTGTTGCCTCTTTCACGCCCCGGACTGGTAGCCCCTGTGGATATAATCCACTCCTGGAAGATATCCACATACGCCTCAATGTATCTCATTTTTGGGAATGCATTAGGTACTCCACCGAGCACGGTCCCTGGTAAGTACGCCACCGGATGCAATAAACAAACGAGCAAGATCACTTCATTTTACGTAGGACTTCGAAGCAAAAAGGCAAAGACACACAATAGTGAGTTTTCACCCAGTCATATTGATATAAGAGAAAAGAGATTAAAATTAAGAACAGTAAAAATACGAAAAAGACAAAACAAACTCAAAGTTCTTGCCAACGCCATGCGGCACTCGCAATACTCTCGAGGGAGGGAATAGGAATCACCGGGTCGGTCTCCGGCACCTCTTGCAAGGTAATGATGAGTGGTGAGATATCAGGCACCGCGGTAATCGGTCCACCGGGTGGCCGGAAGACCACAATTGACTGACGGACCTCTGTCACGTATCGACGCTGACCCATGATATATGTAGGCGGCTGCTCAAGCACAACGGTCTCAAACGTGACCTCAGGCACAGTCCGACTGACCGCTATAGTGATCACCACATGCACTTGTCCCTCAGAGTTCGCCAGCCACCAGTCGGCATCCGCTCGCAGTTTCTTTTTCGCCTCAGAGACTCCGACTTCCAGAATAACCGTGGGCCACTTTTCGCTTCGACCCGGAGGAAGTTCTCGGGGGATCCATGATCCATCTGGTTCTTTGGCGCAAATGTCTCCTTCCACCCGTGCAGTTGTGAGCGACCATTCCGTTCTTCGCATGTTCGCAAGAGAGACAGCCATTACTAAATGGAGCTCACCCACGAGGGCATCGTGGGGTCGGCCCGGTATGGTAACGATCAGGCACCGGGTGTGTCGGTCGTAAAGCTGGCGGTATTCATTGGAGAGAACCAGCTCTGCTATGTCTGGTGGCACGTTGGTGAACTTTGCATATTCCGTTACCAGATCCGGGGCACTCTGGAGACGGGCCAGAATAGACAGGATGGCGTAGGCTGAGGATCCGATCGTTTCCACCGCACATTCCACATCGAAGCAGGCAAGGTCAAGATCAGTTAGGTCCATAATCCTTTCGACAACAGGCGAAGAGAAACTGATGTGTGGTTCCGAGGAAAAGACCAGTTCTGTCTCATCGAAGCTTCTTGGTGATCAGTCACCGAGTCATTCTTACCTCACCGACCTCTTGTTTCTGAGCTGCATCTTTACTCGGTGGGTTTGAATAGCTCTTCCATAAATGGTGAAAATGCCCTCTCCTGCGATTCAAATGGTCTAGTGAAGCCTTCAAGGGTAGAAAGTTAACCGTGAAGCTCCGCGAGCTCTTTGATCACTCGGATAATTTCTCGTGGGCAAGGCTTCCTTGGTGAATAATATCTTCAATTTCTATCATAAGAGAAATGTCAGAGATCAGAGGTTTCATTATTCAGAGAAAATATATACTCACCTTCTGGTGGATATTCGACTGGCGGACCCCGGACTTTGCGGTATTTAGAATCCGGCACGATTGCGATCTTTCCGAAGTTAGGTCACGTCCAAAAGACCAATGAGACGGGACTGACCATGTTGTCTTCAAGGTCTGTATATAATTGATCTGCTGCCTTCTTGATCTCCCGCAGATGGTTTTTTAAACGGGACGTTTGCGACGAGACTAGTAAGGGCAGGCGGTATTTCCCGAGGATCTTCTTCCAACTGTACCATTTAACGGACGTCGACGAGATAGTGTAGTTGTTATCTGCCAGCCAGCATATCAACTCCATATGGGCCTGAGCTAGAAACAGGGCACGGTTGGCGCATCGAAAGTTTTGCCTCGCGGCGTGGATGAGTTCGCCATCAAGCGCAGCGCGATCAGCGTAGTCCCAAAGGTATTTTTGGAAGCTTATCCTGTCGAGTCTATTGGCTTCAAGGTTGTTTGCGATCGTACTGATAGGGGTTGCAATACTGTCCAGTAATCCAACTGCGGTGGTGATTACTTCTTGATACATGGTGAATGTTAGATTCAAAACTATTGAAAGATATTTCACATTCAGGTGCAGTGGCGTCTTTTTATAACCACAAAATGTACTTCGGATGAGACAAATATCTAGGACATGTATTGTTATCCTCACCTAAGCGCGCGGCGGCGAAGTGTACCAAAACCTGTTTTTCTCAAACTATTCCATGGATTGATTATCATTAGACAGGAAGAACTTGCGCTAGAAACCCTTCCACAACACTTGTCAGAAGATATGAACGACTAGAGAGGTTGCAAAGTTGGATGAGATATCTGGCTTCCAACAAATCATCATAATTCTCTTGCCACTCTCTTCTTTGTCACATCTAGAACCCATAAGACGGATCTGTAGCAGAAGATCCAGTGAGAAGAACCTCATTTAGTAGGTCATGTTACGGCATCTCGTATTTCATGTCCATATAAGTGGACGCCACAAGTAATAAAGTTTAGCCGCAAGCTCAGCTGGGCATTTCCTGCATAGACAGACAGGTACAGATATCAGTTAGAAGTCCCGATCAGAAATATTGGATTGCGAAATTTGGGTTCGACGAGACAGAATGGTCGGTATTGTTGTGGGAGGATATAATATCCGATTTGTAGCTGATACAGAGTTGTAGGGGATGAGGTTCATGGCACTGCTAGATATGTTCCGGGGTTCAACTTTGTCTGTATATACCGCGACGTCATAACACTTACACTCGCCACATCATGCGTTGACACCCAAACAAGTGAATGTGCTGTCTTAAATAATTAAATATTCTAGCTAATGGATTAACACCAACAACAGAGAGAGGCGAAATCGAAAAACCCAGCAGGGAGCGAAGACGACCAAACAAGGAAAGCTTCTAAAGCCAGCCAAATCAGACGCCGGACATACCCCAACGAGGCGCGTTCACGATAATCCCGGTCAAACAGCCAGCGATGATACCGGCGCAGGGAAGTGTAATAATCCAACCCATGTAGATCCAGGCAACCATCCGCCAGTTGATCGTTCGCCAAGTGCCGTTGCAAAGCCCAACACCGACGGTAGCGCCCGTAATACACTGGGTGGTAGAGACGGGGAGCTCTGCAAGTGTCATGTTAGCGTGGTGATGATTTGGGAATAGATAAAAGGGACATACTCAGCCTGGTGGCAATAATGACAGCAATGGCAGCACCGAGCTCCATAGCGAACCCACGAGAGGGAGAGTGCAGGGTAAGACGGTTACCCAAGTTGCGCATGATGTGATAACCGTATGTCCAGATACCGATGGAGATAGCGGCACCACCAAAGACACTGGAGAATGTGAGTTAGCACGGGAGCTTCCTTAAATTGGAGGAATGAAACTTACAGGATCCAGATGGGGACTTCGGTCTTAGCGCCTTCAAGGGCACCAGTTCTCCATATAGCGTAGATGGTTGCGTAGGGACCGACAGCACTGGGAACAGTTAGTGCATGAGTCGATAGTAGGTATGAAATGGGAAAACTAACTTTGCCACGTCGTTCGCACCGTGGGTGAAAGAAGCAGTACAGGCTGTCAGGATCTGAAGGAAAGAGAACATGTACTCCGCTTCGTTATCATAGTGATCAGCATGGGCATGGGTCTTCTCGAGATCGCCAGCGAGTTTGCTATCGCTTTTCTGGGCGCTAACAATGTCTTGCTCGACACCGTTGAGGAAGGCCTTCTTCATCAGCCAGAAAAGGACAGGACCACTATACCATGCTCCCTCGGGACGAGGACCACAAATGTTAATGACATCGGGATCCACGGATTGTGTCCCGTTATCCGAGTTGGCAGTGACCTGGGGCTCTGCCTTGAGATCGGGGGACCCAGGCTCACTGTTGTTGCTGTGGCTTTTTTCCACATCAGTGGAACGCTCAGCTTGCAGTTCCTCTAGGGTCTTGTGGCCGCGATAGTAGTTACGGACGGTCTCAACATGGTCAGGAGGTGCAGGAACTTCCCCACGGCGGAAGAGAAGAGGGCCGTAGATCAGATCCCAGGGCTTGAGCTGCCAGTCACCCATAATGACCCTGCGGTAGATCCAGGGGCAAAGGAAGAGGGCCGAGAGAAGAGCCATGCCGACACCAACACCAATAACAGTTCCGGCTATCTCACGGCCTTCGAGGTTAATTCTGCTGCTGCCACCCTTCCAGACAATGAGCACTGTGTTTTCTTAGTAGCCGATACATAGAGACCAGAGTTTTGAGGGAACATACTGGTAAGGAGGCCGGTCGTCAAGAGGAAGTAGAATGGAATGGTGTATAACGCCCTGAGGGCGGGATTCTTCCGCAGTAGGATACCATACTTGGTGATCAAAAAGATAAGCGCACCAGCAACACCAGATAAGATAGGTGCAATCACCCAGGCAAGGAACACCTGGACAACACCGGAGTTGATATCACCTCCCCACCAGATAATATCATCAGCACCGATAAGCGCGATACCCATCCCAAGGATACCACCGAGAATAGAGTGGGTTGTCGAAACAGGAAGACCGATCTTAGTACAGAAGGTAAGATATAGAGAGGAGGCAACCACAGCGCAGCACATTCCAAGCATGAGGAGGGGGGCGTTGTCGGCGAAGGCATCGATCTTGACGATCTTGGTACGGATAGTATCAGAAACACTGTTTCCTACACCAACACTGGAAGAAAGGTGAGTACGAAGCCAGGAAGTGGAAAGCAGGTCATAAACTTACGCTCCAGCAAACTCCATGATAGATCCGAGGATCATGGCTTGCCAGTGCTTTAGCGAACGCGACGAAACAGACGTCGACCAGGAGTTGGCGCAATCATTGGCGCCGATGTTCCATGCATCGAGGAACGCGAATATTGTGCCAATGGCAAAGATGTAATCGTACTGCTGAAGAACCATCTTGACGGTTGACAGAGAGCAGCAGCTGTCCTTTCTGAAGGGTTCTAGAAGGACTCTGGGGGCTGACGAGATAAAAAGGAAATTAGCAGGATGATCCGGATTGGATCTTTATATGTACCAGTTCCAATCCAGGCCAGGACATAACAGCCCTTGCGCTGTAGGTGCAGTGGTGCAACCATCCAGGATGCCAAGCTGCCCAGGCCCGCCGCGCCGCCAAGAAACTCCTCCAGTGTCCGTGCACTTGCCAAGACGGGCCTCCGCCGACGAATCCTACCATGACATACGAGAACGTGTCCACCCCATGTGTAAAGCTTCAGACTACCTTGCCCATGACCTCGCTAAATATCGGGCTAAATCCTCGGGACGGTGCAGAAACACGAGGTGCTCTTTGCGAATGTCCTTCTTCCGACTGGCACTATAATCTGCCTTGGCCCTTGGCAGGACAGAGCCCACGCCATGTAGGCACCTTACATAAGCCTCGCAGCCTGATATTAACCACATCGTGCTTGAATTCAACGTTCTTATTGGCCGACTGATCAAATTATTGACATTGAGCTCTGAATCTAATCCTGACATCTGGCGCACCTCTGGACATCGACCTCGGTTGTCGCGTGGCCACCGTAACCCAGCTCTCTCAGTTCCTCGACCTGTTTCTGGAGGTATTGGATGTACTCCACCGCCGTCTCAAGCAGTTCTGCCTGGCCAAGCAAGTTCGAGTGAGCACATTGGTCTGTCATGTCAGGAGATTGGCTGTGTCAGTTGCCTCCATACCTTGGTGCCTTTCGTTCCCGCGCCTCCCATCCTCATTATCCGCTCTATTTGACCCAGCGCTACTTTCATCCGATCCCGTTGAGACTTTTGTGCGTCAGCGTGCTGCCTCCTCCGAGTCTCCGTTGCATTTGGACCTGTCATGATGACGAGCGATCCTGCTCCAATGAATTTCTGTTAGCCCATCCATCTCCCCTGAGTATAGTGTTGACATCACACGGGAATTCAAAGTGCCAATTACCTTTCGGCCGGATCTCGACCAACTGTCCCTTTCGGTTTAGGAGATAAGGCAGTCTCATTTGTTCCGCGTCCGCCCCAGTGGGCTGCGCATTTGCATGCACGTGCGCCATTGTTAATATATAGGTTCAGCACCGAATTTGCCTTCTTGATTGCTTGATGGCTTTTCAACAGCTTCAGGCTATCAGGCTACCCGAGTGGCTATATATATTGGCCACGCAAATGACTCGGACTCGGACTTTAGCCTATGCATGAATCCATGCCGTGCGTCGCATAGATAGCAACGTCCTACTATTAATAACCTTGATTAAAGAATGCACGCACAGACTCCAATATTAACTCTCCCGAGGATGCAGCAAACAGTATTCCACTCGAGGAAGGAATATCCTATTGGCCATGTTGTGGCACAGATAAAGGGCTCTAGAAGAAACTAAATCTAACCTTGAAAGTCCCCTCCCTTTTCACCTCGCCCAGTTGGGTGCTATAAGATGAGTCGTCTTCCCAATTCCAGTGTCATTGCGACCTTCCGTTATCGCCGAGCACCTTGAATTTCACGTTGATGAACTCGCTTCCTTCTACTTATAGCAACGTTGCCATATCCTTATACATCTGCAATGTCGAAGTTGCGAATGAAGTCATAGTAGAACTTAACGGCGCTCAAGTGGTCAAAGATACTCACATGCTCATCGACAGTGTGAATATTGTCCAGTCCCCGGCTGATCGATGGGGTCCACCTAAATACACTGCGGGAAAGGCCTGATAATACCGTCAGTATGTATACGTGACTACCCAGAGGGAGACTTACTGAGATAATGTCTAGTATCGGTATTACCGGTCATGACGTCTCCGACTGGTACGACTGTCTTATCTTCTGTTGCAAAGACGTGTCGGATTGTCCCCGAGAAAACATCCCAAACAGGACCACTAACCGGAGACACCGGTGCGGCTTCGGCTTTTGTGGCTCTGATGATAAGAGTGCCGTTGTAGTCAACTTCATCATGACGTTTTAGATCGCTGTGATGTAGCATATCACCGGGATAAAGCTCTGCGACATAATCCTGATATTCTTTGTCGCCTTTGAATGCATCCACCTGAAGACCATACTTCTCAACTACATCCGCAATCACTTGAATAGCCTTGTGTTGCACCTGTACCGGCTTTTCATGGTGTGCAACGCGATAGTTGACAGCCAGGGTAACGACCTCCGGCATGGCATTGATTTTCACCCCGCCCTTGATTAGATCAATAGCCTGTGAGGTTTGAACAACGAACCGGTTCAACGGGCTAGTGCTGGCGAATTGAACGGCAAGTCCATCAAAGTCATTGTTTCGCAGTAGCTCTTCGATCTTGGGCTGGGTGTTGGGAGAATATCGCGCTTGACAGATCAGACGTTTGTGAATGGGGCTGTCCTTGATGATTTGAGGCTGGTACGGATTAGCCTCGAGCGCAACAACAATCTCAGAAATGATGCCGATTCCCGTATGTGGTAAGGGGACCGAACTATGGCCACCCTTGGCATGAAGCTCGAAGAAGAGATTGGAATGGCCCTTTTCGGTGATTGCAGGGTGGACATATATGGTATTGTCATCAAGAGGTGTCGAGCCTAAACCGCCCTCGTCAAGAATAACAGCAAAACTGTCGTCACCATATCTCTCCTTGAGTACCTCACTGATCCGTGCAGCACCTTGGTTGAGACCAACTTCCTCATCAAATCCGAATGCGAGGATGAGAGTTCGTCTAGGTTTCCAATCAGACTCGGACAGAAGGCCTTCTAGGGCCGAGAAGATGGCTGTGAGACTGTTCTTATCATCGGATGAACCCCGACCCCAGATATATTCACCGTCAAAATGAGCTTCAAAAGGTGGATAAGTCCATGTGGATGGATCGGCCACGGGAACCACATCCTGATGGGCGGTAAGGAGGGTTGGCTTCAGAGTTGGATCCGAGCCTTCAAATGTGTAAAGCAACCCGAAGGTATTGATTTTCTCTAGCTTTCCACGCTTATGACTTGAAGTGATCAGCTGTGAGGACAGTTTCCATGATGGACTTCTAGCTTACACTGTGGGATACGACTTTTGAAGAACAGGGAAAAGCTTGTGAAACGGAAGCCATCGCTCATCCTCGCCGATTTCGCCTAGATCGTCGTAGGAAACCGACGGAACCTGCACAATGGCCTGATGACGTTGTACCTGTCTTTTCAACGCCTCATCTGACGAGAACAAGCTCACTGCCGACGGCAACCCATCATTGGCAGGATCAAGAATAGGGGGTAGATCGCATATGAAATCAGAACCCGGATTCCCAGCTGCCATAGAAGTCTGGCCAATAAAGGGCAGCACGAAAGCCGAAGCACCAGTAAGGGCATTTGCCAGGACCATCAAGCGGAGGCACCCCATGTTTTTAGGTGAATTTCCGGGATCAACCCACTTTCACGATGTCAATTGATAGATAGATAATGAAAATGAAGAGCGAAATCACAAGACTTTGACTAAACGGGGCCTTTTAAAGAAGGGAAACGCTGCGAAGTAAAAATGAGCAACTTTTACAATGTACTCGATGATGACATATCACCAACAGCTTACGACATGCATGGATTTCATGCTAAGCCCGGTTTCGATGTCGAGGCAGCTTTCTCCTCTCTCGAAGTAGATAGGAAGCAGCTAATATCCTCCAGCCATGGCGTTATCATATCATATATGGTCTCAACTATTTTCCGCTTTAACATCCTTGGCGCTTTTCTCTCGTTTGAACCGAATATTATATTTTTGTGTATTTAAAGAAGATACCTTTTCTTATGAATAGAGTGGGTAAAGTTTGGCACATTAGCAACTCATAAATCCTATATCATTATGATGAAGGATGAAGCCTAAGATAAAGTGCGGAGTGAAGTAGGTACCTTTGATCAGCTCTTGCGAGGCCGAACTCGGCTTCCCCTCATTGCAACTTTGACCCCATTCTTATGCCATATCCACCATCTACAATCAGAACGACAGTAATAGGTAAAGCCTGATAGATAGAGATGGCCAAGACGAGCCAAGCATAAAACTCTCCAAACTTAGATTGAAAGGATCTGCTATCTTCCGCCCTACATGTCCATTTGTCATTGTGAAATCCCCCAGCCCTGTCTAGCAGTCAAAATATTGGCTGTATTTGTCCCTAGGTTACAACATGCTCGTAAATTATCGCGAACGGCTTATAAATGTCCGCTATGGCACATCTTTCCTGTTCGGGTAAACCCCCGGAAAAGGTGGATGTGCTTCACCTAGCTAGAAGACCATCTTATGTACAGAGCGGATGGTTTCCTATCTACGACCCTCTCTAATGTTGTTCTAATCTGGGCCAAGCATTGCACAATTTCCATTTATTACCGCAAAAGTCTTGGAAATACTCGGACGAGTAAGACTTAAGTAGGAAACGATTGACCTCAGCAGCTGCATCCTTTCAGAGAGCAATTCTCAAGCCAACATGACAGGAAAAGAACCACAGGAGCTCCCTACTGAAAGTGTTCAGCCCATAGAGATCAAAAATCTCGCCTCAATTGATAAAGAAGAAGTTGACTCTTTCGACGAGTCGCAATATGACTTTGATTCCGCTGAATTCAAGAACATACCCGAGCTGGTGCGGACGGTCGTTGGTTTCGAGGACGACCCAGAACTTCCAGTCTTGACCTTCCGCTCGATTATTCTATCAGGACTATTTTGCGCAATCGGCAGCATTGTTTCTCAATTATCCTAGTGAGTTTCGCTGGCGCAGAATTGACAGCAAACGCTTTAGCTTACAACCTACTAGCTTTCGAACGACATACGCTCCGTTTCCAGTATTCTTTGTCATTCTAGCGTCTAACCCCCTCGGTCAGTTCATGGCACGTGTACTACCTGCCTATAGGGTGCCGCTGGGAAGATTTTCGTTCTCTTTAAACCCGGGCCCTTGGTCGAACAAGGAGCACGCAATTGTTGGCATTGCCGCCAATGCTGGAAGTCAGGGTCAATGGGCTAGTAAGTAATCCAAATATCGCTTGATATGCCAGCATTACTGATCTCAAAAGCCTTTCTGCCTACAAATGCTGCCTTATACTACAATATCACTATGAACCCGGCAGTTGCCTTATTCTTTGGATGGGTAGGCTCAAACCTCGACAGACAAAAATAACTTGCTAATTTAAGATCAGGGTTGTTCCTTGCTTGGTTTTGCATTTGCTGCAATGGGTAGGTACTTTCATGGTATCTGTTACTGAATTAAAACTGACCTATCTAGTTCGCGGAGTCCTGATCGATGATCCCGAATTCATATTTCCTCTGTCCTTGCAACAAGTGACTCTATACCGAAGCATGGATGCCAAAAACAGACCTGACCAGAAAAGAGCGCGGGAGCAGGTTAAGGTATGTATCCTCTCAGTCATGATTACATTCCTTTGAAACAGCTAATTGAATATTGTCAGGTATTTTGGATATTACTCTTGGCTACATTTGTTTGGCAATTCCTACCGGAATACCTCTTTCCCTTTGTAGCATCTCTGGCTCCCCTATGCTGGTTTGCTAGTCGCAATCACACTGTCAACTTTATCGGAGCTGGGCGCGGTGGCATGGGATTGCTAAACATAACCCTTGATTGGTCCAACATCACTTCGGTGGTTATCACGTATCCCTACAGCGTACAAGTGATTATCTTCTTGGCATTTGTCTTGACAGTAAGTTAAAAAGTCTGTGTCGAAAGGTTATCCTCTGATCTGTTCTAGTGTTGGATTCTGATTCCTATTGCGTATTTCGGGAACCTTTGGGGGTCACCGACTTTTAACATCATGTCCAACGGGGTATTCATGAAGAATGGGACAACCTATCCGTTCAATGATCTAAGTGGGTATCTCGCTATGGCATTTCGGGACGTATGCTGATGCTCTTCAAGTCTACCTTGATTCCAACGGCATGCAACACTTTAACGAGACAAAATACGATGAAGTAGGCCTTGCCTACTCTGGAGCTCAGTATACGTGGCAGATGTTCATGGTAAGAATTCCGCATTGTTACATCCCTTCTTTTACTGACATCGCAGTGGGTGGCCTCGTATATGTCGTCTTTCGCTTGGTGCGGTCTGTTTCTAGGCCCAAAGATATACCGAATGTGGAAAGCCAGAAAGCAGTCCGGAGCTTATCACCAGGATAGATTGAGGTATTTACGCCTGGTGCTTATTCCATATAGCAATACTGTTATTGACCATTTTTAGTCGCATCATCCAACGGTATCCCGGTATGACGAAGTGGTAAGATCCTCTCGTTCTTGTTTACGATTATAACTAAAAAGAATGACAGGGAATGGGTTGCGCTTACTCTGATACCATTCCTAATGCTTCTGGGTGTCGTTGTTTCCAAGACAGTCTACATGCCTATCTGGACGTACTTTGTGGCATTGGGTTTCGGTGCAGTATCAATGTTACCGATGAGCTTCGTATATGCCATGTCGGGCTTCTCAATAAAGGTTGGCTACTTCAACGAGCTTGTTTATGGATGTAAGTTGACGTGAGCTTATGTCCCAACCCTACTTCCAACTAACTGGGTTACTCTACAGATATGATCGATGCGAAGGGTTCATCACGGCATCCTTTGGGCCAACTTGCTTATCGAATTATCTCCGGAAATGTGTGGTACGATGCTCGTACAGTTCTAGAGGATCAAAAGGTTAGATTATCTACGCAGCCATTCACGAGTGATAGAAGACTGATTATTGATTCCAGATTGGGCATTACCTTCACCTACCTCCACGCCAAGTCATTGGAATCCAAATTATTGCCAACATGCTTGCACTGCCCGTGAACTATGGCGTTATGCGCTGGGTCATCGCCACCAAATTCGACTATGTCAGCGGCAAGGAGAAAGACCCCCTCGGTCAGTGGACCGGTCAAGATTTCCAATCGTACAACACAGCCGGCATCCAGTATGCTCTCGTTGGGCCCCGTAAGCTCTTCGCTTCGGCCTTCTTCAGACCCATCCTCTGGGGCTTCCTTGCAGGCGCACTTGCCCCCGGTGTAATGTGGTTATTGCACAAGAAATTCCCTCGCGCTCGTTTCGATCTGTGGAATACGACTATATTCTTCGCATCGGCAGCAGTTTTCTATGGTAATCTCAGTACCGGGCCTTTTACAACCTTTCTCGTCGGCACTTTTACCAACTTCTTTCTCTATCGTTATAGGAGGGTTTTCTGGAATAAGTGGGCTTATATCAGTGGTGCGGCATTGGACACTGGGTTTAACGCGAATCTATTGTTTATCTTTATCTTCTTCGGGACAACCGGGACCAAGATGGTTCATTGGTGGGGTAACAACGCTGATAGTATTGAGAGATGCTTTGCCTTGAAGGGATAGGGAGTATTATGGTGACTTGTATAGAGAAAAGAAGTCAGGCAGCTCACTACTTGAAAGTTTGCTCCCTAAAAAAGCCCCCTGAGCCTGTGAATGCTGAGCTGCATCTATCAGATCATGCCCTGAGTCAAAATATGAAGCCATTCAGAGATCGAGCACTATGAAGTAATTCAAATTAATTACCACCAATAATGGAGATAATTCAATTCTGAAAACGCCATTTTGATGCTAGCTCGCAGATAGTATCTGATTAATTAAATGCGACCGATATTTATAATTCTTTATGGTTCAGTTGTACGAAGGAGTTAGGGTGAAATCTAGAGATTAGCGAGATACCGCACAAACCTACGATTTAATTTTGATCATAAATCAATTGAGAAAGGTTCTCTTAACAGATCAGCTGATCTCAAAATAGCTTCATCTTGACGGATAAGGTGGTCTCTGAATAGCATCATGGTAGTAGTTCATGATTCATGATCTCTGAATAGTGGCAGATCGGGTGACTCGGGACTTGGTGAGGGATTAGGTAATATGGGGCTGATTAACTAGTTATAAAGCAGATCATAGAGTGGCTGATACGGTTTGAAGGCTGGGGGTTTACGGTGGCGATACCGTAATAAATGACACTCGTATTTAAAATGGTGTGCCAAGAGATATCTATCCTAATTGGGTTAGACGACTGTGCCAGTAGTGTTGTATGCCAACAATTTGCAAGACCCTGACTCACCCTCTCTCATCACCCTACGATATTTTATATTTCCCTCTCGTCTTCTATCTTGTACATACGACCATAGGGTGTGGAAAACAGGGCTTCCCGTCCGCTCAGCCGTACTTAAGCCACACGCCGGTGAGTTAGTAGTTGGGTGGGTGACCACCAGCGAATCCTCACTGTTGTATGTTTTTGTTTTTGTTTGCTCAGTATAGCAATAGCATGTTCATCTTAGGCCCCGTTGTGGACCAGAAGGCAGGTAGGCTCAGTTGTGGACCGCTATTAATAACTTTTTAGAAATGAAGCTTAACGAGACATGAGAGTACTTGATGTATCTATCTGACACTATGACCATCTAGGGGCAGAGGTTACCTGACCCAATGGCGACAATGAGATATAAGCCGTCTTACCATACCACGGCTATAGTCTATAGTTCTCAGCTATTATATGTTCCCCTCCAGTGCTACGCCAAGTACATACGACCATAGGGTGTGGAAAATAGGGCTTCCCGTCCGCTCAGCCGTACTCAAGCCACACGCCGGTGAGTTAGTAGTTGGGTGGGTGACCACCAGCGAATCCTCACTGTTGTATGTTTTTGTCTTTTTTTGCTTCAAATTTGGACTGTAGTAGCCGGTTGTAAGGAATGTGTACGTTGTTCCATCTTCAAGACCTGCCTTGACCAGGACCTCTCCGTGTCCCTGTGTCATAACTCTGTTGCCGGAGTAGTCTCGGTAGGCGTACGCTACGTCTGGGCTGTCTTCTTGGTACGTGTAGAAGTCCTCAAAACTGTGAGTAGGTGTTTTATCAGACCCAGTTTCGAGTAACCAGCTGTTTAATCTATCCGAGGGGTGAGCTGCCGCTGTGATGGCCATACTCTCTCCCTCGCGCAGTGCGATGGAGTAATTCCAGATGTGTGGGCTGCTGGTCCAATGGGTGGGTGGCACCTCTGCCAGGTAGGAACAGGCTTTGGCTTTATGAGGCCCGAAACCGCAGTAGGCGCATATTCCACTCTCGTCCTTTTGTGGCCCGTCCTTCTTTTCTTTCACATATTCATGAATGTCATTGCCGGGAGGAGGTTGGTTCCGTAGGGTTCTCTTTTTCCTAGGCTCGTTGGATGTGTTCTGTTACGTGCCAGGTTCTCTTTAACAGAAGAAGTGCATTGCTAAACGAATATCAAGTATGGAGAAAGAAAAGAAAAGAAAACAAAACGTAAAACAACAAATGGGTCTTTATACCCCTTCGGGGGCAAAGCCCTATCCTCGCTTAACCCAGAAGGAAGGTACGATTGCCTGTGCAAACGAGAAGGAACGACCAACGGTACGATCCCAAACGGGAAGGTACGAGTTCTTCAAGTGCCAATCGTGACATGTTCGACTCGTCCTTCGAAGATTTGCTATCTTGAGTCAAGGAGGTATCGCTGTTGCCTCCTTTTCCACCTCTCTTACCTCCTCGTCTTCCACGTCCTCCTCCGCGATTGTTACCTCGTCCTTGTGAGGATTGGGCTGCGTTGGTAGTTCCTTCTCTGTCATAGAATGCCCTATGTGTCGGGTAGAAATTGCCGCAAGATCAGAGATTGTACGAATGTGGGCAGCATGAACCTCATTCATAGAGTACGGAGTAGTCTCATTCTGGAGCTATTCATATGATGTGAGGATCCAACATTGTCTGTCGCTTCTCCTTTGGAATCAGAAACCAGCATTGGCATCCTAACGCTCGGAGATTTGACAAGTCGGGTTTCTTGCCATGTAAAGCTTCATATGGCGACATTCCAATCTTTGAGGCGTAGAGGCGATTCATTGCGTAATTAACACCCCCCAGAAGATAGCCCCAGAGATCTTTTGGGAGCTGATGCTCTGTCATAATGGCTACCAAGGGCTCAACCAAGTGACGGTTCTTGATCTCGGCAACGCCATTCAACTGCCTAGTGTAGGGAGGGGTAGGATCCCACACAACTCCTTTCGACTTCAGGTAAGTTGTGTATGGGATATCGTCGGCATCGAACCCGACACCATCAACCCCCTTGAGTGTATCGCTAAGTCATGCTTTGATTTATCATATTGCAGCGGTGTCTCTAGACTTTCCAATTGAATCATTTGTAGTCAACAACTTCCTAATCAACGGCCGCGGAAGAGTTGAAGACGGTATCTCTGTTGAGGGCATGTAGTTCGACATGTACCTTGCGAGTCCTTGGCATCCTTTCCAGGTGGGTAATTCTTCGAGTCTCTTCCCCACACCATCGCCCGCACAGCTTGGGCTCTTTGTAAAACCGGATCTCCCTAATACCCTCAAGAATATCATCTGCAGCAAGATGAGCCTGCTAGAGCAGTCCATCACCGCTAAATACAAGTTCCAGTCAGCCCTGTGTACCTCGACGTAAGTAATTCTCATTTGGGAACTCACGATCTCGCTTCCCGGTCATGGAAAACATCCCTTCAAGCCAACATAGGCTCTGTTGAGCATATGTCCATACAAATGGGCAACTTTGAAGCGCAAGTTGCCCCACAGGTGATGTTCAGCAGTCGTTCGGTCGTTTGCATTGACTAAGTTGACAGTCGTTACGGAAACTGTGTTTGAGTGCACTGTGCCTTCCCAATGAAAAACTCGCGGGTAGAATGGATAATCGGGACCGCTGGGGATATTCCTGCGTTCTAGCGTACGAGGTGGCTTTCCTAGTATGTGATTCTTTTTCTGGGTCTATGAGCTGGTAGGACTTCACCTGGCTTCTTGGGTGAAACCTGTGATATTTGACAGGTGCGTAGGGTTGATGCAGTCCTTCGAGAATGTTATCGGCATGTCTGTTGATCCGTAATGTAACCTCGTATCCGCGTGAGTTTTGGTCATCATGTACCAGGTGCAACGCGTTGTCGTTGATGGTCACAGCATGGTCGATTAGAACTGCCAGACAGAGCCGTTAAGCTATATCCCCACGAAGCCTACCAAAGCCAAATTCAGCTGCAGGTTGGGTTGGGAGTTTAGGATTCTGTGCCTAATGATGGTGTTGTGGCAGAGCCGAAGGAGGGGACTAAAAACACCCTGAGGACCGACTGGGTGTGACATATTTGAAGGACGCAGTGTTATCAAAAAGGCCTTGGTCTGGCGGTTAGTTTTCATGGTGAAGACAGTTCGTATTTCAAGGTGTTTCATCAACTCACTTCTGAGATTCTACCAGTGGAAGAATTTTCGTCTCTATAATATATAGAAATATAGAAATATGTCACATATTCCGATCTCCTATGAGAACCTAACAAGAAAGTAAAGAGGAGGGAAGGACGACTGCTTCTCTGCAATCAAACAGAAGCTACTTAAATAGCTAGTGGAAGCCGGACAAATCAGGCATCAAGCAGATGCGCTCTCAAACACAAACAATTGTCTATGAAGTCACTAGGTAGACACCTGATATAACGCTTTTCAGATAACTTTGGCTCTAATGAAACCAGTATATCGATAATCCGACTAAAGACACTTAACTCAATACTTGGAAGTAACACAATTCAAAAGACTAGAGGTTTATTTTCAATTATCAAGCAACGGAGCCCACCTCTAATCAGAAGTAATGTCTTACGCGAATGAGAAAGGTAACCTCCACTAAACACAAACTCCAGCGCAAAAGAAGCGAGCAAATAGACAAGTGATGCTAAATAAACACCCCGAAAGAAAACAAAAAAGGCATCACGAAGTCGTTGAAACTCCAACCCCGAACCATCTTTATCATTCCGAGAACAAAATAATGGGCTCCTGGGAGCCCGACACACCCGCGTCAGGGAATCGGTCCTTCAGCGTGACCATCAGCGCCGGCTTATCCCACAGGAAGTAGGCTCTCTGGTCGGCCCAGTTGGCACTCTCTGGGCGTAGGGCGATGTCGAAGTGGTAGAGGAGTTTGCAGAGGATGAGTCGAATTTCGCAGTTAGCTAGACTTTTAAGGGTGAGAATATGTTAGCATTGAGTGAGATGGTCCAATGTGTATACAGGGAAGAAACGTACTGTTTTCCAAGACAGACGCGTGGACCGAGACTAAATGGCTGCAAGACATCTTTCTTATCGTTCGCAAAGATTGGATCGGATCCCAGCCAGCGCTCTGGCATGAACTTATCCGGGAAGGCGAAGTTGGACTCGGAGTGGTAGGAAGCGTAGTGGTGGCATGCCACAGCTGTCTGGTCGGGATTAGTACAAGGCTACAACTGTGAAAGACTGAAGTGAGGCGTATACATACATCTTCAGGGAGGAAATGTCCGTTCACGACTGCTCCGCCTTGCGGTACAATGCGCGACAGACTTGTCACAAAGGGCGGGTAGATACGCAGCGACTCCTCGATAACAGCAGTCATGTACTTCAATTCTTCGACGGCGCGGAAGGTCATATCACTGTCCTGTTTGAAAGTCGAGCGGATCTCGGCGACGAGTTGGCTCATGACGTGTGGAGCTGTACACAGGTAGAAGATACAACCGGATAGTAGGGTTGCGGATGTCTCGCTGCCTGCCACGATGAGACTGGTATTGATTAGCGTTAGCACAATATAAACAGAAGAGAAGAAAGGTAAAAGCATTTGACAATGAAAACACTCACATAAAACCATTAGAATGAATCTCAGCGCGAGTCATAATACGCTCGCTGTCACGATACTGGCCCTTCTCCTCGCTCAGTCCATGCTGGAGAATAGCAGACATAAAGTCCGGACGGGCCATATTCGACTCCAAGCGCCGGTCGACCTTGCGCGCACTCAGATCAAAGTGTTCCTGGCCGACGCGCTTGACTTCCCGCGGAATGAATAAATCCAGGAAGCCCTTGAGCATGGGGAACTGATTGGCAGCTCCAATAAAAGCAATAGCCTTCATGGAGCTGAAGATCAACTTAATCCACGGGTGAAGCTGGTTATCCTTCAGGCAGTCGAAGGACTCGCCGAACATCAGGTCACCGGTGATATCAAAAGTGGTAAAGTTCATCCAACTTTTGATATCGACAATGGAGGTCCCCTGCCGAATATGTGACCGCAGCTTGGTGATCAAGGTATCGACATAGCCTGTGATAAGACCTTCTTGATCTCTCAAAGCCTTCTCAGAGAAGGCGTGAGCTAGCAGCCGTTTCTGTCTTGCGTGGGTCGCATTATCGACCGCACAGACCAAATGATCGACCCCATTCGCCGGGGCTACATATTGGCTCCGATTCTTGGGGAAGCAACCGCCAGGTCTGGCGCCATAGATATCACGAAAGGCCTGTGCTGTGTTGAAGGCCAATTCATTGGGTCCAATGCGCAGGATGGGACCGTACTGCTTGTGCAGCGCCAGAATGTCCAGGTGATTACGGCCACGGAGAATGGAGACATTCGACGGGATGCGAGATATCGCCCATAGCTTTGGACCGGGGAAGTGGCGCAGGGGCGACCAGCAAAACGTGTAGATGATGCTGTAGGTGACCCAGAGCAGGAGCTGTTCAATGCTGATTAGCGTTGGTTTCTCTGAAAACGCCTGTAGAGGGCATTTCTCAAAGCTGTTGTGTTTCCCCGGGGAGATGTAGGGATTCTTTTCTTGCGTGAAACAAACGAGGGTTGGGAGTACGAGTTGATGCAACTTACCAGGCATCCTGCAGCCGTGCCCCAAAAGCCAGGACCTGAGGTTGCCCAAGACATAAGATTTGAGGTAAAAGAGGTGATAGAGGTCCACAGGGTCATGCACTGCCTTGAAACCATATTCAGTTCAGGGTCATTTGGTTTGTTTTCTGGATAGAAGTGGGATTTGGTAAATGTTTCTCCTTTTTTTCATGATTTCAAATAGTCATTGGGCACTGAACCGAGGCAAAAAAAAAAGAGAAACGAACAAAGAAAGGCAGAGTTGCACCAGTCGAATGCGGTTAGTGGAAAATGCAAAGGTGAGGGATCACATCGGGAGTTCGTGAGAGGAGAACCCGCATCCCCAGCCATATCAAATCTATCTACACTCTTTTTTGGACTCCGAAAATCATCGGGATCCCTAGTCAAATTGCAGATTCGACTGGGACTAACACGGCTTCCGACCGTAAACGACATGCAACTTGCAGTACGTATGCACCGCGGGATTCTTGAGATCTTTGCGCACCCCCGCTAGGAAAACCTGAGTATCATTATTCGACCATCCCAGTACACGAGTGAAAAGAGCCAGCGAGTAGGATTCCACCGCCATGAGAAGGGAACATTGGTTGTACCGACCAATCTCCTTTTGCACGGGGTCCCTAGCCCAAACACTCGATGGAACCTAGAAAAAAAGACAGTCAGTCACGATAAAACAGGCAAACAAAAACCGAAAGCCAATCAGGCAGATGGCTGGGTTGATGGTCGCACCTTGTACACCTCATCTCGAACATCTTCAAAACCAGCCTCAACCAGCCGCTGTCGGTGACCTTCGGCGATATTCATAGGTCGGTGAAATGCCTCACTGGCCTGAGTTAGTCGTTCAAGAAACTCACACAACGCCGGCGCAAGACGGATGGAATCATCGTCTGACTTGAGCATAACTTCAAACTCCTGCAACTCGACCCATCCACCGGGACGCAGATGCTCGTAGCTCTGGCGCATCAGCCGCGGCCAGTCGGCAATAGCACCGCCTAAATCCCGGGCATGGATGAAGTCAAATGGCCGACTTGGGCTGTACAGCCATTGCGACTCGGCGTCGTCCACCACAAACCGGAGGTTTGGTGGGACCCATGACGGCTGGATAGGACTTAGGTCGGTGCCTGTTACCTCGGCACTGGGGAAGCTGTCTGCGAAGTCGATGGCCCAGATTCCGGTGCCGGTGCCAATGTCCAGAGCGCGTTGGATGTTACTATCCAGTGGCGCTCGGAAGAGCCGGCCGTTTAGCACGAGGTTCCGTACGTGGTGGAGGAGATCTTGTCGATCTTGTTCTGGTTCGTCGTTTGGAAGGACGTAGTGGCCTTCGCGGTATGAGTGATACCGTCTTCCATTTTCGTAGGCGTAGTTTTTCACATCGGATAGCAATGACGCTGTGTAGCTGGATGTGTTGTCTGATTCTCCATCATCAAATACTGAGTCTGAATCACCGTTTGTTGATGCTGCGGATGATGTGTCTCCATTATCATCATTATCGTCTGGTGATAAGGAGTTTATGGGTAGAGATGCGGAACCACCGTAATCCACTTCAGGATTGGACACGGTTGTTGCGCTCATTGGAGCCGGCGGCAAAGAATGCGGTGTTGACAGATCCCACGTTGAACTCAACGAATCAATTTCAGTGACTGAGGTAGTTGATCCGGGTATCAATGGAGTCAGGTACTCGTCGTCACTGTCCTCGGAACTTTCCTCCGGAATTGGTGCCAGTCCAGGAGACGGGAGAAGCCCAGGGTCGTCCAGTAATGGGAGCTCACGTATATCCGGCAAGCCAGATGCACGAATTATCGGCGCTCGAATTGAAGGAGCAGGCGACAATCGCCTTAAATCTGAAGCTTCCTCCATTGCAGACTCCATTTGATCGAAAGTCCGTTTTAACGGAATGCAAGGGACAGGTACTAGCCCAGCCTCCGGAGCTGGAATTCCTGATATCACTTTCGTGGAATTCGGCACGGCGTCAGACGACACGATTGGCGAGGAATCACGATCCCCTGTCAAGGCTGGGTACGTGTGAGAGGACAATAGATCGGTACCCTGATCAATTCTCGTGTTGCGTCGCCGGTCGTCCAAGCACATGGGGTAAATACCGAGGAAATCAATCATGTCGAGAGGAGGTAGCCCTGGGCCAATCTATACAGTAACGATATTTGACTACAGTGAGCAATGGAATACTTGGAAGATCATTGGGGAGAAGGGATCAGATAAAGAGCAAGTTGATTTAAGCAAAGAGCTTCGCTTTTCATAAAATTGTCTCTTTTCCCAGGGTATCACAAGGAATATCAAAAGGGAAAAGTGCCGGAGTATATGGCCAATTCTAATATCGACAGGGGTTTACATAGTACGACAATCACACTACGGCAATCGGGCTTATTACCTGCAGAAAACTATGGCCAAGGTGTAGATGCTGAAGAAACCCGGGATTTTGTATTGATATACCTAGACTCATCTCGCCCCAGTCTCGAGTATAACGGGTTGTTCACCACGGTTCATGCGTGAGTTTCTTCGGTGGAATCATCCTGATGCCCTAACACAGAGCAGAAGCACATGTTCGGGAAATTCGTATTTCGATATGCAAAAATCATGACATAGAAGACGTATGCTAACATTCAATACCAGTTCACGTTTGCTGATTCAGCTTGGGGGAGCCATGTAACAGTCATGGCTCGAACTCTTGGAAATTGACAAGATTCAATGTGGTATACATTTAACCAACAACCAAGCTAGACCGCGATGCGTGTGGGATATTGCTGGCATCTTTGAGAGGTGGATTCATCCACAGAGTTTCGAGGTGGCACCCACGTCCCACACATCGCTGGTCAACCTCTATCTTTCAGCAGGATTGGAGCTCATGTTTCTGGGTCCCATCGATGAAAGCATCGCATGGCGATAAGGACAACAGGTTGTCAACATGCGTGATAGTTTATAAGACAATGCCATGGCTTTAGATGAGCGACTCGCTTGGAAGGAGCTTTTGTTCAAGCCGAAATGCCTGCCTCATCTGGGGTTGGCAATCTCATTGGACAACTTCGCTTGTTGATGATGAGTAAATATATATGGCATCTTGATGATACGAATGAGGATGATGGAGAGAAGAAGGTTGATGTCATATGAAAAATGACTATTTGTAGGCCAAAGAGACAATCAGAGACAAACAACGAGCCCTTCTTTATTATAAGGCGGTAGAAAAGGCGGCAATATATCCATGCAGCAGGCCGAACCCTAGTCGATTTTTAAATATTTTTCCGAATGTGTTTACCTCTGTGGACATTCTATACATTTTGAGATGCGTTCCTAGTATAAATGCTCTGTCTATTTCTCATCGAAGCGTAGCACTGCCCAGGTCATTGCGTTGCACGGGTCGGCGGAATTGATATCCTGTCGAGGGTTGGACAAGGTGAGAATAAGATGTTTCAGCTACGGTGCCCCATTAAAAGAGCGGGTTGGTGCGAAATTTCATGTTGTGTATGGGGTTTACTATTATTGGTTGTGTAAAAGTAGACAACCACGTACGCGGAGGATACCTCACTGAGTGTTGAATTGATTTCTGTAAGCCACTGTATGATACAGTATCTGCATTGCAGTTGCAATTGCAGCTGGAGTATCGGGGTATTATCTCATTCGTCATCATTCATGCGCCCGGATCGCCTGGAGTGAGGGCCGGTCCTCTCTCCATCTATTAGTCCCTGGGCCTCACGGAAACCGTCCTCCATTTCCTTGTTCAGATCCTTCTGCTTCGTCAGGCTTGACCTCTAGTCCTGCTCGAATAAAAGCGGCATGCAGAATCCGCCAATGGGCCTCCTGGTTGAATTCGCGTAGGCTCTCCAGAGTGTTACGCTGCACCTCTGCCCGCAGGTCGATCTGGTTCGACACTAACAACCCCTTCTCAAGGTCGATGCGAGCGTTCAGCACGCCACCTTGAATGAGGCCGATTAGTTCTTGGACAAACGGCGACGAAATATCCGTGGGACGCGCTTCGCCGCCAACGACCGTAGGGGCAAAGATCTTCGCCATGGAGTCGAGTGTGACACGACTGAAAGGAATCATGTACTGCTCGATGGATTTGGTGCGAATTCGTTTGTACAATTGAGGGATGTGACGCTGAAGGTGAATGTCGAGTAAGTAGTCAGGGCGATAAGCTTCGAGAATGTCAAGGCATTGGCGGAACTTGAAGTTGCAGAAGAAAACGATGGCGCGGCGGATATGAGGCTCGGGCTCGAGGAAGGTGCGGAAAGTCTGGTTGTCAAGCACATTCTTCTGCAGATCGTCCCGGTTCATAGAGGCGAGAGCACATAGACCACCGTAGACGGCGACATCGTTGGGGGTGATGACTTCATTGTAGGTGTCGCCCAGGTCCGGCGGGATGGACAGGAAAGAGTTTGCTGCATCGAGGTACAAGGTTTGGTGCATCTGTGACAGAGCCGAGGCGGCTGTGATTTTCGAAATGTTTTTGGCTGCGTCATCTGGCTTTGACTGAGAGTTGCGTAATCGGTGCACGTTTGACTGTACAGACATCCAGTCACCGCGTTCAGTAGCGACGTTGACCATCTTGAAGAGCATAGAAGTAATGTGGTTCGGAGTAGTGCAGTAGTCTCTCATGCGAGAGTAAGCTTTGGAGGCAGCAGCTAGATCACCAGTCTTGTAATGATGGTTGCCCAAATCCTCATGGCCCATCTGCAGAGGTCAGTGTCACGCATCTCCCAGGGATATTTGTCATTACTTACCCGGATGCTCTCTTTAATCAAATTGTTTTTGTATCCCCGTAGCTCATGTTCCAGTCGCTCGGTCTGAGTCTGTACGTATCGATTGGTTTCCTGGACCCAGGAAGCGTCAAGAGAAGCGTCAGGGTCGCTCGAAGCTACTTCCGCCAGTGCGCGGACCGCCTTCTCGTATCTCGAAACGTCTTTGTTGGTTCTAGCTTCGTCGATGGCCCCCTTGAGGGCGTCGATCGAGAGCAATGGGGAGCAAATGCCGATGAGGTACAGACGGTCGTAGCGGGTACGCCCTGGTCGTGCATTAGAATCAGAAGTCGCCTAGAGACATAGTGTCACTCACCAGTGTAGTTTGCAATGTAAGTATCAAGGTCGAATTTCGGGGGCTCTAGCGAATCAAGTAAGTGTGTGTTCTCGGCGTAGCAACATCATCGCGCGGAGATAGCCCCGCGTGGGGTTAACATACCTTCTACCTTCACTAGTACCTTTGGTCGGGGTACAGTGATAGTCGTAGCCTCCAGAGCTGCAGCATCCATATCTGCCCGAGACGGACCAGATGCGTCTGGAAGCGTGGTGTCCATCTTTGCCGAGCTGTTTAGACGATGCGTTGCGGGCAGAAGTGACACTGGCAAATCGAAGAAATGGAGCTTGATTAGCAAGCTAGGGTTTCAGTGGAAGAAGATAGCGACCAATTTGAACGCTAAGAACAATATGCTGTTAAGGGAAGTGAATGAGAGGTGGGTGACAGCCAGTCGGTCGATCATTGTGATGGGTGATTGATTGTCTGGCAAAACCCGACCGCCTACAACACCGCCATACAGAAGGGCCGCGAAGATCTCCAGAAATAGAGCTAAGGCAAAAGAAACTGTGATTCTCTAAAAGGATCCCCGACTTTAGGCCGATATATCTTCTTGCATGGCCTAAAGAGAGCTAAAAGGCCAAAAGACGAGCTAGAATGCTAGAATGTCACTCAAATCGTAGCAATATAGGGCAGCTTGGTCGCATCGACATGCGACCGGAAGACTCTCTTTGATCACCCCGGAGCATATAATGGAAGCACTGAACCATTGAAGACTATATATGAATCCCTAGGCTTGTATGAAGATATCTGAGGCACTAGAGATCCTCGAAAGCCGTGGAGTGGAGCGGCACTATGAACCTCGGAACGTGAGTAATCACGAAATTAAACATCAAGTAACCTATCGGCTATATAAAAGCGGCCCGGGACCCCAATATCTTGATTATAATCCTTCTTGCCGACAGCATAAACAGATATATAATCGACAAAGCTCGGCATCTAGTAATCACAAACCACAAACCAAAGTATATAACAAGCCCAACCCAAGACGTCAATCGACCCCGACTCGACTTCCAGCAACAGAACGAAACTCCCAAAGCCTCAAAATGTCCCAAACACAGCAAGTCGCCCTAATAATAGGAGCATCACGCGGGATCGGCCGTCAAATCGCCATCGACCTAGCAAAGAACGGCTACGCCGGTACAGCCACATGCAATCCCACATAGACCATCGAGACTAACCCCAAACCCTAGTAATGCTATCCGCAAAAACAACATCGGACGCATCGACAGTGTCTCCGTTCCCACCAGACTCAAACTCATCGCAGTCTACCATCAACACAGTAGAGCGCGAGATCCACGAAGCGGGCGGGCACGCGGCAACAGTCGCCGTTGACGTGCGCGACGCCGCGCAGATCCAGCATGCTGTCGAGGAGACGGTGCGCGTCTTTGGGAAGCTCGACGTGCTTGTATACAACTCCGGCGCGATCTGGTGGTCTTCCGTGGAGCAGACGCCTCTCAAGCGGTTTAAGCTTATGCAGCAGGTCAACCCCGAGGGACTGTATGCGACTGTTCAAGCTGCTTTGCCTTTTTTTGAGAAGGGGGGCTGGAGAGGACGCATTATTGTTGTATCGCCGCCTATTTATTCGAGGTTCTTTAGGGGGAAGACCGCTTATGCGATGGGTGAGTTATCCTTGATGTGTGGGGTAGGGGATCCACATAGAGTGTGTGCTGATGATGCGTTGTATGTAGGCAAAGTCGCAATGAGTGTCTTGGTCAAAGGCCTGGCCATGGACTTTGTGCGCCAAGGCCGAAACGAAATGGCGGTGACGAGTATCTGGCCTGCATCGGTATGTGTCTTGGTCTTGATTCCATCCGGACCTGGAGTGCGTGAGGGGATTGCTGACTGCATCTTCCCAGTCGATTGAATCAGCAGCTACGGAGTATAATAAGGGATCCGACACATCCTACAGAAAGGATTTGAGAAAACCGGTATGTCCATTTCGATACTGTCGACTCTTCCTGGTCAATTCAATACTGACACGATGCAATAGACAATATTCTCGGACGCTGTTCTGGCTATGCTTCGTGCCCCACATCAAACAGTGAATGGGCTCCTGGATACAGATGAGGACTTTCTTAGGGAGAAGTGTGGAGTCTCCGACTTTTCCAAATACTCTGTAATTCCAGGATCGACGCCACGGCGGATCATGCCGGCCAAGTTCCCAGTCCTGGAGGTGGCAGAGCAAGATGATGAAGGGCAGCGAATGGATAGCACGAAGTTGCGGGCCAAGATATAGGTTTGGGGAGGGGTGAATTGAACCTCTCATTCAAACTAGACGTGCATTTGATATAGTATCTGGAAACTCGAGATGTAAATAACCCATGTATGCATTAATAGGGTTGAATGATATTCTATGGCAAGATACATACCAATGTAGGAAATGTTAAAACAGGATGTAATGAGTGAACGGCCAGCAATAGAGTACTCCATAAACCCAGACAAGAAAGAAAAAAGAAAAAGAAATACAAACGCCCATTGCTAATGCAGCCAGAAAATGCAAGCCAGAAAGAAACAAAAGATTAGCCAATATCATGGAAGTATCGAGCACGAGTAACGGCAACTCTAGGGTTCAATACCCTTGACGAGCCAACCAGACACAGACCCTTAACTCTACAAGAGAGCAGCAAAGCCGGCAACAAACCCACCAACCAAAACACAAAGCCCGTAGACATGGCTGATATCAACAGAGACCATGCGCGGAGCAGCGCCAGTAGCGCCGGTATCTCCATTGCCATTGACAAGGGTATTGAGAGGGGTCTCGGATGCAGTAGCGGTAGCAGTGTTGGCGGTAGTAGTAGTAGTAGTCACATTGATACGCTTGGGATTCTGGGCTCCACAAGGGTTATCTACTCTGCAGTTATTCTGGCAAGTGGTGTTACCGTCGCAGTTGAGAACGCATTGGCTGTTGGTTTCCGTGCAGATGTAGTAGGGGATTGTCAGGGAATATTCAGTGGCGTTAGGGCTGACGCCGTTGCTGCATGTGCAGTCGTAGGCTAGTGTTTCCTGATGATTGGAGTTAGTTGGGACTTTTCTTTCCGTTAAGATGCTTGCTAAGCGAAGGGCTTACGGCGGAGCAGTTATTTGTTGTTGGTGAACCCGAGGCTCCTCGTAGTTGTAGACAGAGGAGGGGACATGTGGATGTCTGGGAGTTACACCAGGCCTCTAAGGGAAGGAAGACGTGTTAGTATGATGGTCATTTGTATATTGGAGAGAATATATGATATCAACTTACGTCTTGTAGCAAGGGTAACCGATGTCGGGTCAAATTGGCTGTTGACCAGAGTGACAGCCGAAGCGAGGATGAACAGGGTCTTGGACAGCATGGTGTCGGTTGAGCTTGAGAACTGAGGAGATCAGAAATTGGCAGCAGGCAGCTACTTCATGCTCGTGTTAGTCTTTTTTTCCTTCAAGAATGCCAGTGATAGTCTGACACATGCCCTAGAGCCGAAATAGAGCCGGCGATAGCTATCTCGGGCAGATGGAATGAAGGGGGAAAGTTGTAATGGGTCTAGAAAATGCCATGGAACCTACTGAGTATGAATTTCTTGAATCTTTCAAGAACAAGGCGAGGAATGAAGAGGATGAAGATGTTGATCTAAAGCCAATAGCAAGAGGCTGCTCCTTGAAGTTGTAAAGATTTAGGGGTGCAAGTAGCTCAAGGAGGAAAAAAAAGTAGCCAGCAAGGGAGGAGTGGGGAGGTCATAAATGAAAAGAGCAATCACAGGACTATAACAGCCTATGTATAGAATTGTACTAGCTGGTCTGCATGGTGGCATGCACTAGTGCACTCTCGCGGTTCTACGGCATCGAATGGTAATTTTTTCCTTTTTTTTTTCTCGGCAAGCCCAAGATACTTTCTGTCAAGTGAGTTCAGTAGTAGACCCGTTGCTTCGGAAGTGAGGTGTGGATTTGGACGAAGGGTCCGCTATAGGGGTTTACCCTTGCGATGTGTCGATCCGGGGATATCTCCATGAAGCTCGGGTAGAGACGTTTGTCCTGGCCGGGTGGGAGCTCACTGTGTGTCACATCTGTCATCCTGGCGATAGTCTCCACTAAAAACACATCATTGTAGGTTCTCAAAGATAGGAAAGTGACATGTCTCAGTTGGAGTTGAGAAACTGGAAAGATTAGAGGACGCCGATCAAGCAACGCTTACCGCATTGGGATTGGCGTGGTTTGTGGCTTGAAGTAGTCGGACGAGATTGTGAAAGTGTCAAGTTGAAGTCGAAAAGCAGGCAAGTTTGAAATTGTTGTCATATATGAGATTGATCTTAAAGAAATACAATCAAAACTGTCTATTATAAACGTCATCAAAGGGAATTGGGTACAAACAAGAACATGTCCATATCTGCCCAGCCTTAGCTAATCCACCCGAACCAGCCCCCGTGACCGCCAATGTCTCAAATCGACTCCAATTGAATTTCGCTGTCGACACACTTGACACTCTCACTCTCTCGCCACCATCGACAGTTCCAAGGTTAGTTTGTCTCACCTCTGATCGCTTGTGCCACCCCGAGTCTGGCCCATCCCTGCATCAACTCCAATGTCTAAAATAGCCCGATTCATACCACCTTATACTTGCCACCCCGCATGATGGGGGGAAGACCGCCGGTCCATCCCCGAACCGAGCCACATCCACCCAAACGCATTGAACCTACCCAACGGCATTGAACCTCAACACTCAACAGAAAAGCTAACAAACACCCTCGCACCAAACAGGCCAATACCTACATATTCCTTACAGCATCTAATGGATGGAGCCAGCACCCGAGGAGGCCAATTCGGCATCTAAGCCGCCCTCCCCACACCCAGATACCCAGCCCGACCCCGCACTCCGACCTGAGACCGAGACCGATACCGATAATGCCAATGATGATCCCACAAACACCCAAAGTCACGATGATCAATCCCAGAGCTCCCCATCCTCCACCTCCCGCCCCCTCTCCGCCGTAGTGCCCCCCTATTGGCGCCGACACGAGCGCGATGCCTCACATGTCTCGCAGGCGTCGCTGCATGGCGCTACCATCACATTAGAAGACCATACCACCGACCCGAACTCGGAGACGAGTCGGGGGCTATGGGCGAGTAGCGTTACTATTGATGACCATGTTGTGGTGCGCGGTATGACTGGGGTGGGGTCGTATGTGGTGTGGAATTGCACGATTCAGACGCTTGATGTGAGTTTGGGATCGGATAAGGAACGTGGTTAGCATGGCTTTCTAATCGGTTGTTTCTGTATAGGGTGGTCCAATTGTTGTTCGGATGAGGTGTGTTACTTCTCTGTCCGGGTTTGAAAGGATGTTCAGCTGACACTTGGATTCTATAGATACTCCGAGTTCGATGACCTGCGCCAGCGACTGGTGGCTTCTTTCCCGCATGCAAGGAGTGCATTACCTGCATTGCCGCCGAAGAGTATTATCTGTACGTTCCTTGCTCTTCTTCCCTTAATATTGCCATTCAATCCGCTAACATTATCATAAAGTTAAATTCCGACCCTCGTTCCTGGAATCAAGACGTGTGGGCTTGGAGTATTTCCTCAAGTCAGTATCTCATCCTACCCCCGTGATTCATTCTCTGGGCCTGTTTCTCACACCATTCCAGCTGCGTCCTTTTAAACCCGGAGTTCTCGGGCTCCCCTATCGTCAAAGACTTCCTCTTCGGTCGTATATGTTAATAATCATCTCGTCTTCACTGAGTGGTGCTGGATAGGTTACATGGCTGGGCGTTTAGGAATTGCATTTCGCATTTTGCATTGTACATCATGACCTATAATTCGAGCTGATACTGGGAACCTAAGCTCACAATACTGAATATGTCTCGACTATTACCTTTGCTTACAGAAGGGAACAACCTACATACCATGGCAAATACTAGATAGGACGAAGCGGTCTAAGACATAGAAAGTAGAAAGGGCCATAGAAATCGACAAGGATTTTTCAAGAGAACCGAACAATGCCGCCGCTAAGGTACAAAGATCCCAGCAAGAACCCTAGGCGCAAGCAATTGGAATAGAACGCCTTGAGTATGATGTAGTGCCCAGCATCGCTGAAATAGCAACAAAGAAAAGAAAGATATTTAACGCACACAGGGCGAATAGAATAGAAGAACCTCCTCCTCAAAAGTCTTGCCCTTTGGGGCCTGTTGAGCAGACTCCTCCTTCTTACCATCACCCTTCAACTTGTGGCTCGCCACAAAAGCCTCGACATCCGCCCGGAAAATCTTGCGCACACTTATGTTAGCCATATGGATCATGGCGAGCCCGTGACGGGGACCGGGTACGCCGCGTGGGAAAGCAATATAAAGATCCGAGTCCTGGGTCGGGTCCGGGCGGAATTTGTCATGGTATGCCTTTTTGCCGCTGATGGGGAGACGGTGGAACGCATGATCGTACAAGCCGCGTGTGATCTTCTTACAGGCCCACGGCATGCCGCCGATATCCTCGGCGGTGATTGTTTGGAGCGGTTCGACGCCGAGACCGAGGTATGAGATGCCGGCGCGTCGGAGGAGCGCCATTGACATGATGAGAAGAAGGTCGCTGATTCCATTTACGCTGCCTGGGGCTGCGATGCACGGATCGACATGGTAGCCGCCCGAGGCCAGCCGTCGAAGAGCGGCGAAACCGTTGATTGTTCCGTCTGGGGTGCGGGTGTAGAGGAATGTCATCAGGGCGGGAACAGCAAAGGGGTCGTATACGGTTATGAAGGCTTGCGGGATAGCAGAGGCGTTGCGCTCGGCGCGCCAGGTGTCGTATATGGTGATTAGGTTGTTTTGTAGTTCCTGGTTTATGCCATGCACGGCGGGGGCGTACACGCCTATGGTGATGCCGCCTTTGTTTTTATTCGTGAGCTGACGGCTCTTGGTCAAGATGCGTTTCCCGCTCTTCTCGAGAATCACTTCGTTTGTCTGGGGATTGAGTACGCGCTCTGTGGCGAAGTGGATGGTTGTCCAGCCATTTGGTTTGGCGTGGTCTTTGAGAAAGGACTCGCTGACGCCCATGAATGCTATGCTCAAGTGATGTCGCCGTCTGTAGGCTGCGAATTCAGACAAGACCTCGGGTATTTCGTCTTTGTTGCATAAAGGATCTCCGCCGATGATTGCCACCCCATTCTGGACCTTAAATGACAATGCTGCTGTCCTTGTTTTGTTCACGAAGAATCGGTAGCTGTGGTCGAGGATTCCCATGTGTGCCACTCTGCCATGTATTGCAGCTATTTGTTGGATCGCCGTTGTTGTTTTGAAGTCGTCGAGTGTGAATACGGTATCTTGATCTCGGCATTGTGCTTTCGCGTGAAAGGAATCAGTATCGACCTTGGTTGGTTCTGGGCGAGTAGCTGGGATGCGTTCATTACTGTCCACACTTGTCGCCGGGGTGGAATCGGACGTCGTATGGCAACTCGCCGAACTGCAAGAGGAAGAGACCGCGGGACTTGCGACGATGTTCTTGCGCAAGTGATCCATAAGGGAAATTGACGAGGTACCACTGTCATCACTGCTGGGTTTGGGTGTCTCAAAGAGCTGGTCAATTAAGGAGTCTCCCATCTCATCCACGAACAAGGTCTTCGGTTTTCCTGCGACGGGGTTCGGAGTGTTTCCCTTTCGTGCGCGGCGTGATCGCATCTTCTTGGTTGTGGGTACCTCATGCGATGCCGCAGCTTCCGACATGGTGAGTGGGACGCGGAGGCGCTCGGAGAGAATAAAAGAGCAAAATGTATGAGAAATCAGAAAAGAGAACAGAAAGAAAAAATCAACATGGAGTCGGAGATTTGTCGGGAAGGCAAAAATGGCGAGTATGAAAGTGCACTTGCCCGAAGCTACGTCGGTATATTAGGCAGAGGCATTTTCATAGGCAGTTCCCTTCGTGCCCATCCAGTGTTACCGCACTGCGTACCCAGGGGTATAGATCGGTCTCACCAATCAGGAGACGGCAACGGGGCTAGATCGACCGCTACCAGCCTTATGAGCTCTTGGCTCGTCCTATGACGTTGGGAACAGCAGAATAAAGTGTGAAGCGAACTATATATAGTCTGGGTTCTACAGATCTCTTGGCTATTACAACATGACCATGATGAACCTTGGAATAGAGGTACTTATCTCTCACCTCTCATATACCTTTGTCTAATTTGTGTTGGAGTTCAATTGTGCCATGAGAACCGGCTACCTGTCAGTATCAGCATCTAACCTAAGTATGGTTAGCGATCAAATATGAAGCTAGCTAAACGTGCTTAGGTTCCAAAGCTTGCTGAATTATGGAGAATATGCAATAAAAACCCACATGGACAAACGCAAAAGACTAGATATCGTCAAGTTCAAATGGGAATACATAAAGACGCAATGCAACGCAACGCAACGTATGTCTTGATCGAAAGGAAACAAGCATTCAATGTCCCAAGCAGAAAAGATCATCTCAACATGAGAAAACTGGCCAGCGAAAGACAGAAGGGGGCAAAGAGACGACTACTCATCCGCAGTACCGTGTCCATTCATGTGTCCATTCACTGCACTGCATCCATTGGCAGGACTGTCATCACCATCACTCTCTTGTTCAATACTGGAATCACTGAATTCAAAAAGCCCACTGATCTCAGTGGAACAATCATCACTGTCACACTCCCTAGCCATCCGTCTCAGACATGCCAAAAGTTCCTTCTGCTGCTTCAAGATGCTATCGGCCAAACGGACGATCCTGTCAGTCTGCTCAATGCAATACCGCATTTCTTCGGTCTGACGCTCGGTGCGAACACCTAGCATCGAATCCTAAATCTCTTTATTAGGATAACGGTATCCAGAGGACCAGTTCGGTACGTTCGGTACTGACAATGTGGTCGATCCAGACTTGCCCAAGGATGGGGTCTGGAGTCTCCGGCAGGTAAGGCGAGTGGAGATTCACAGTACGGGACACAATGCAGTCGCGATGGTGGTAGGCAGAGGAGCTGCTTCCTTGTCCATTGCCTGATGCGGAGGCAGAGGCATGGGGACGGGCCGGTTGGATGATCTCACGGGTGGATCTACCAGACTCCATAGTGGGCCGCTCGGTGGAGGCGGTAACGGGATCGGCGGCAGCCGCGGCGGCAGCGAGGGTCTCCAGAGCAGTGAAGCGAGAGCGTCTAGGCTCAATTCCTTTGTCGCTCTTTCGACCACTGCCGTCAGGCTCAACAGTAGCAAGCTTAACAGTCATGATATGAATGGCTGGCGGAAATCACGGGTTGAAAAATGAGCGATGAGGGATAAGAATGGGTAAAAGAGCGAAAACCCAGTGACTAGATCAGATGAGACAAGCGTTGTGGGGTGAGGAAGACTGAAGGGACATGTTTTGATTGCACTACCCTTTCCCCGGTGTTGACAAGAGTAAATGAGTCTCCATCGCTGTCGCAAGACAATGGTCTCCCTCTTTAATTTTCTATACTCCTGATTGGTGGGCTGCCATGTACACTAGTCCCAGGACAGCTAGCGTATACATCCACGCGCTACTCCCATTTAGGAAATTGACATCCCGCGATCTGGACAACATGTCTGCCCACTCACGCTTGTCCAAGTCCTTCTTTCGAACATTCCCCTTGACTGTCTATATCTCTGTACTTCTACATATAACACAATGATCACAAATCGCCCGGCCACCCCAGCTGATATCCCCCAAGTCCGGGATATCAATCACTGGTACATCGTTAACAGCTGTTCCACTTTTGCAACTACCCCACCACCGATATCCCATTATGAGGACATCCTTCGGGACCTGTCGAGAAGAAACCTCCCATTTTATGTCGTCGTGTCTGACACGCGGAAGGGACCAGACGGGGCAGATTTAGTCCTTGGCTACGCTTACTTGTCTCCATTCCGTGGCCATTTGCTGTCCTATGCACCGACCGTGGAGCTGTCGATCTTCATGCGCTATGACCAGCGGCAATTTGGCTATGGGACTATTATTCTTAGAAAGCTCTTGCGCTTAGTGCAGCAGGGGGAAATTGAGCACCGCTGCGAGGAGAGAGTGGGTGATCTGCCGCGGATTGGGTTTGGTACCTCTTTGGGTGTCATGAAGACTTCCCTTGTGCAGAATATCATTGCAATCATAGCTTATGACACGGAGGCTCCGTTTGATGGGGAGATATTGCGGAGATGGTACATGAAATGGGGGTTTGTCGAGAAGGGGCAATTGGAGAATGTTGGGCGAAAGATGGGTCATTGGTGAGTTGCTTTTATATGCTTGGACTGATGGATTTTCCAGCTGATGGCTTTGACTAGGATTGATACTCTCTATCTTCAATGGTCAATGCCAGAAACAGATAGTTATTGATTTGGAATCAGCGAAGTATCCGAGTCAATGGATAAGCAAAACAGGTTGGACAGGGATGAGATTGTATATTCAAATTCAAGGCCTAGGTAGTCAATATGCTCAGATATCATAATTAGATGGCCTATGGTTGGCGTAGTTTCTGTATATCACCGCAAGGCAATACAACGATAGGGACTACGCTCAAATAAAAGAACTACGATGATGATTCTGAGAACGAATTGACGATGTAATTCTCCACGTACAGGATACCGGTTCTCTACTCGATGATAGTTAAGCATGCAAAGCTTGGGGAAGATAGATATGATGTATTTCTAGCTAGCTTGCAGCCACCTCGTAGACAGTGACATCAATGGGATCTGACTTCGGCCAAAGACAGGGAAACCACTCCCATACACACTCTTTTCCAGGCAATAGGCTGGTACCTACTGACACACCGAGAGCAACTGCCGAGATAATTGTTGAGGTATCTGGCATTGTGAAAAAAAAAAAGATTGAACTCGATCATCCACTCTGGATGCCCGGATATCTTATCCAGCGTTGCCATAACCTGAGCCAGATTTGGAGCATCCGCTTGAACCTGTTAGTTGGTGACTCTTTGCTTTCGGGATGCCGTAACCTTCATCCGTGTCCGACATCGTTTTGGATTCTCTATCCAACGCCAGGATTTTATATGGCTTGTATCGGGAAGATGTAGGTATTCTTGTTGTATAATGGAAAGGGACGTGTAGGTGTAGGTTTCCCGGCGCGCGCGGCAGCGTGAGCGTTGTCCGCATCCGCTTCCCTGTGCCGGCTATATCAAAGAACCAAAAGTAAGCATTTTGTTCCTACATATCCACACAACGACCAAGTGATATACCTCTCGGTGAAGCTTACAGTGGTCGGCCTTCTGAAAGCTGGAGCTAATCTGCAAGTTAAAGTAAGAAGTCAGTAAAAGCAAAGTGAGAGGAGAGTGAATACAAGGTGAGTGGACAGTAAATACCCAAAGATTGAAGAGGAAAGAACGAACCCTCTACAAGGAGGATTGGTTGTCCCTGTTCAAAGTATGCAGGATACCCCCCACGATTCTGTCAAACTCGCGGTACGTCATACGTTCAGGTTCATTAGGAGGTTGTTCACCAATCCCAAAGTTGATGTAATAGGCCAAGTCTGGCATCTCCCCCTTGAGCTCGTGAAGTATCAACTGGGTAGGAAGCCACCAGCAGCTGACACCGATCTTAACTTCCTTGCAGATACTAGCCTGAGCGCGGCAAGTGGAAACAAAGGCATGGAGCGAACAAAACTGGCACCGTCGCATCGTCCACAGCTTCATGAATTCCCTAACCTCGATGTCCTCTGCGTCGGGCAACAAGTTGATGATCGCAAGGTAGGTCTCGTCAGCTATTCAATCCTCTTCCACATTAAGTATCAGCCACTTGCTAACAAGCTGCGACCATTTCAGCCAGTTCTCATATTTGATGTGGTCGAGGATGGGTCGTGGAATATGCTGATGTTTGCTGATGATATCAAGGAGGTTGGGGTCTAAGGACGAGCTGGATACTGGTTTTCCAGGATTTGAGGTCCGATCTCTCGGACAATTTCTTGACATTTGTGATAGTAATTTCTTCGAATGGTGGCAGGTCATCTGCCTGGGCTCGGACTGAGCCAAGATATTCCATGGCGTTGGTAACTGGAGTTGAAGAAATAATAGAGAGATATGGTAGGACCTGAAATGATGGTTGATACGGGTGAAATAAAATATGCGCAAAATAGAAAGATTGTTTGAGTGGGAAATTCTGTTGTGAGAAACGTGATGCTTTAAAAGACCACCTTAAGACGCACTCGCTTACTACATCCAAACTTCATTAATCATATTTGCCATCAGCAATCACTACTGTCTCGCTGGTTCCTTCTTCCCTGGCTCGTTGTACAGTCGCAGAATACCTCTTTCCAGCAATGAGCCACCAAGCAAGCTCAATACTCAAGAATCCGCCTACAACAACACAGGTATAGTTCATGTTTGATACTGCGTGGCTGTTAGCACATAGCTTTGGCAAGATACTAAGGAATCATAGAAAACCACAGCACATACCAGTTACAGGCATTTGATACGGAAACGAGAAAAAGACAATGGCAAACACCAGCCACGCCAAAGAGACGATGTTCACGGTCATTCCTAGTGTCTGGCCCATGGAGAATGGGCCACGGCGCATGGTTCGGCGGAATAAGAGAACATTCGTCAGAATGGGCACAAGGTAGGCAAAGTTGTTGATCGTCCTGTATCCATGTCAGTGTCAAGTCGTTGCTAACTGCTTTGTAGTATGAAGAACCTACACCGCAGAGCTCATCATTGCATTGAACGCCGTACTCGACCCCAAGTATATACAGCCAAGAAGAGCGATGATCACGGTAACACAGAGCTGTGCATTGAACGGCGAACCCAGCTTAGGATTGACACGGGCCCATACCTTCGACAAAGGCAGGCCCTCGTCACGGGCAAAGGCCCAAAACACTCGTCCAGTACCTATGAAGTCAGAATTGTTGGTCTTCGATGACAAAATCACTACTTACTCAACTGCGAACCGATCACGCAGGGCCCAAGAGCAATCCAAACCATGAACACCAGCCCGAATGCTCCACCTCTTGTAGAGGTTGCCTGCCAAAAGAGCTCGGCAAGAGGAAGTCCGGTATGTGTGTTAGCCAAGCTGCCATAATCTTGAACTGAGAACATTAGGCTGAGCAGATATGATAGTCCGGTCACGAATGCGATTGATAGGGTGATGGCTGTTGACGTATACAGTTAGCCAAATTATCGACGAAAGCAACACGACCACTACTGACCTAGACCCAAAGGAGCATTCTTTCCGGGCTATAAATGCTCGTTAGTACAACACACAAGATTTGTGTATCCGAGCCATCTCAACTTACATTGGGCATCTCTTCAGTGATGTGCTATGATATGGTCAGCTGAGTTCAACTGGGCACCTTGACAATGTGTGCAACTCACCGAAATTCCATCCAGACCTCCAAGGGAGTACATTGGATTGACCAATCCGGTGATAAAGCAGATAACATTGTTGTCCCAGCCGGTGTTGTTGATCCAGGTGCGAAACACGAACTTGCTGTCATTATGAACTGGCGCTTTGGCGGCCACGACAACCATGGTAATAAACCAGGCCAATTGCAGGTAAACCACTGACACTCGTTAATTGCTGAACTACACAGGAAAAGAGCCCACATACATGAAAACTTGTTGATTGCCGGAATAAACCGATTTCCAAACATCACCACACCCGAAGTCACGATATTGAGGATCTGATATGCGACAAAAGTCATCCACGGTTGAACCACCAGGCCATCATGGTAAAGAGCAATCAGCGCCATAGCCGTCGTGGCGTAAATCAAATTCGTTGATGCGGACGTAAAGATCCCTAGGCTTCATCAGCTCATGCTGACACTTTTGATGTCGGACAACCCACATCCAAATACAGTGCACCAGCCAGTGGCAAAGCTGAGCAAGCTGTTATATCTCTTGGGAGCAATGGCGGCAATCCAATGATACATCCCTCCTTCGGTGGGGTACGCCGATACAAATTCTGCCAGCGAAGCGCCAACGAAAGATTGAAGGATGAAAACAAGGATGAAGCCGTATATCACTGCGCTTGGTCATTTATTGACTCCCTTGCGATCGGTACGGAATGAAAACTCACGGGCGCCAGGACCACCTGCATCGATCGCAGTCATTAAACCCAAGCCGAGGCCTATTACCTTGTGAGTCGGATGCTGAGTGATTGCATGAACCAACTAACCTGTCCATGAGATAGTACAATTCGCCGCGAGTCCAATCAAACTCCAAAGTGAGAAATGTCGCTCCAACTCCTGCTTATGCCCTGTTCGCCGTCAATACTATATCTCCCAACCGCCGGATTCGACACCTACCCATCTGGGCCAACCGCAGCTCATCCTCATTCTGCACCTTGATAAACTCGGTCTCTTTCCCATCTCCAATAGACCCGACCGGCGGAGAGGTAGATATAATTTCCGAGCCGCTCATAATGGACGTAAAATGGAATATTCACGGTAGGATGTGAGTATCAACGAACAGAAAAAGGGGGGTACACATGAATAATAAATAAACCCTGCGCAACGACTGACCTAAGTACCATCATGCTACTCCGCGCGATGATCTTTAGCTCTTATCAAAACCCGGCAAACCTGCAGAAATCACCGGGTTCGCCGACAAGATAGCCGGTCGGAGGCGACGTATCAGCGTGCGGCATTCCGCCAAGACGCATGCGTCTCGGCGATCGCGGAGCTTCGCCGGTGCAGAACGTGGGGAGGACTGGAACCCGGAAGCCGCTCGCGTGTCTGCTTCATGCACAGGCCGTTGTAACCCCATTTGTACTTGGCGAAGTATGAGCTTGCGTTGAACTTGATGTGCCATGCTTATCTCAATGGAATAATTCGGGGGAAGATTGCAGTGGATATGGAAGGTTGCGACGGCGTAATCGACGATGAGTCGTGTAGCTTACGAATGATAACACGCGACGAACGATGTAAGTTCATATGGTTCCACTTGTAGGTCCTGAGCGATATCATATTTTGTATCAACGACATTGTTCACGCTGACCGACGACATCCGAAGATAGTTTCTCCTACTCATATGCTATTCCATGGTACAGATAGGCTACGTAATGCCTACAGGTCTAAGTGCATATCGAGGTAGGTATTTCAATCTACAGCTTCTGTTCGCACAAGCAGTAGTGCCTTGACAATTTTCAAATTTAAATTAACATCGCTGGTCAAATTACCAGGTTTTCACAGTCCCTCCCTTTGTATACAGTATCAAGGATGCATTTTCATTCGAAAAATCCCAAGTTCTCCCCGAGAAAGATTGCTTCCTAGGAAGTGGTTTGGTTTGCCGAACTTGGACAAGTCTGGCATCTCTTCCTCGTGCTCGTGAAGCGGCCCTCTGAAGAAACATGGTCTTGAGTTCAGTTGGTGAGAACAAGTCTTCCGGAGCTCCTGCCGGACGGCTGGTTTATCCCAGGCTCTTTCTTGGTGAGAAACTGGATATGCGGAAGATTTCCGATATTAATGAGATGACATGTTTCATCCAGCAGCTCCACAAATTCTTAGTTGGATTCTTCGAGTACTTTTGTAAATACTCAAGCTTTCGAAGTATTTCGCACTGGTCGATCAAGAGAACACCATTCTGAAGAGGGGATGGTGAATATGACGGAGTATTCTGTTTGTTTCGTTGATAGGATCCAGCACAGCCGCATAGAACCAAGACGCTTGGTCGTCCGCTCGATGCTGAGTATAGTTGGTCTGGTCCAGTGTGAACCAGTATAGCCTGCCAACTAGAGAGATACTCTGCGCTGTCTTCATCATGGCAGAAAATCTCTGAGTCCTCGCTCTCATCATTCTATTGCCATGACTGGATCGGCCTATGTCGAAGAAGGAATTAGCGCTCCATATTTTGAAGTATAAATCACACAGCACATACATACAGGATCTGCTGCGATATTTCTTGACCTCCAGAGCCAACAGAGACCATCAAAGTGGAAGTGAAAATCGAGCTCTCATTCCTACCACTCACTGCTCGGAGTATATTGGGATCACGTCACAGGTCTGCTATATCTTCCTCTCTCTCATTCTTTTCCCCTGTACACTCGGTCAGCATACAGTCCATTGTACTGCTCGTTCTTCTTGTGGCCTCACATCGTATATTGAGAGTATATTGAGATCAAGATTGTGATAAATATAATGAAACACAAGTAAGACACATCTCCATCGATTTGTTTAGTCTGCGGATCACCTTCTTCCAGCGCTCTGTGTCTTTTGAGATATATATTATATATGACAGATTATTTACAGAAGAAGAAAGTAACTGACGAATTTTGTCCATGACCTGGTTATATATAGCAAACAGCAAACAGCAATGGGATGATGTGTGACGGATTTAGAACACAATGGCATCCCCTTAGCATCTTTCTCCTGTCGCAGTGGATATCACCGGAGACTGTCCTATTGGCTTAGGAGATTATATTTCCCCGTGGGCATTTCCTGATTTCTCGGAGATAAAAATCCTTTTGTGTGCTGATTGGCGAGTTCTACGACAGACACAAAAATCAATCATCCTTCCAAGCACGACAAGAATAGCCAAAGGATAAACTATTGTGTGAAAATTGAAGCTAACTCTCCAACTCAGGGGCTATTACATCATTGAGCTCTTTGGCTTTACGATCTTGCGCACGAACTCATCCCGGGAGACCTCAAGATCGACCGATCGATCCGATCGAGCTTGAAAATTGATTGTAAGGTTGTCGATCATTTCCCAACTGCTGGGGAATTCTGGCACTTTGCCCTCATACAATTGGGATCTATTCGCTCTCGTTTCACCAGAACCATGGGCTGCTGGTTAAAAAGACTGTCGATCACCCTCGTGGGCGATCATGGACGATATAGTCATGATCCTACAGATTTTTCTTTAAAAGACCTGGAAGGCCTTAGCACAGATCCGATCTCGATTTAGATCCCTTGAAATAGTACAGCATGGATCCGCCGTCCATCCCAGATAATCGCCCTAACAAGAGACATTCCGACATGTCTTCTACGCCTACTATTGTTGAGCCAGATAGCTTTGGCGCACATTTCAAACCCACGAGCTATAATTCCCCACGTTCAGGTTCTCGGGGACAAGGTTATGAACCGCCAGTGTTTGGCCAGCCGGCTATTGGAAGACCATCTGTTGGACCGCAAGAGCGATCAACTCCTAAACTCAATGCCAATGGTGTCTCGAATGCCATTTATAATGGCGACCAGTTTGGTCGCAAGCTCTCCATCGATCAACAATCAGTCGCGGATTCAGTCAACACCCTAGATTTGGGCTACCACAACATCGGCCAGCAACCACGACCACAGCACGAGATCTTAGGCCACCAACCCTTTGACCAGAGATCCCTCAGCACACTCTCTCTAGACCAACAGACTGTCGGAACCCAATCGCTAGGCCACCATTCTATAGGTCGGCCACCAGGCGGCTATGCTCCGTAAGGCCGAACAGTCCCAATTGCCAAAATTCCGCTAATTATGCAGATCATCTACTTCACCCGCCCGCCTCCACTCGTCTGCATCCAACAGGTCGCTACAACCCAACTTGCCGACCAACGAACTCCCAGTTCTTCAGCAGATAAATCCTAACGAGGGATCCGAGGAATTCGACCCTATCGCCGAAGAAAATGAGGAAACATGTTTTGATCTGGTCGCTCCATACGAGGGCGATGCAGCTCCGGTACATACTCTAGAGCGACAAGCAGACCTCATGTTCTGCTCGGACCATATGCTAGTGATTCTAAGCACTCCGCGCTACCTCGCACGTTTCCGCGAGTTCCTCGCACAGGAGCGTCCAGGGTCATTTTCGACCCTGAATTATTACCTGAATGCTTCCAAGGCTCTCAAAGCAATCGAGTATGCTAATTCGCTCGTACGTTCGGTTGTTGATGTTCCTACATCCGGTATTAAAACTGCAGAGCACCTCGTTGGCTCGACTGTAAATGCGGCGCTCGAAAGGCGCGTACAGGCAGCGCTGGATGCCTTGACTGCTGAGGAATTACCTGCCTTCATTACCTCTACATGTATCAACATTACCGGCAAGGTGGTTGAAGAGCATGTGCGCGGAACCTTGCCTGAGAAATTCCGGGGAACGGCAGATGCGCTGGGTGAGGTATTCTGTCTGACCGATCCATCGCGGCCAGATAACCCTATTATCTTTGCTTCTGAGGGTATGTCGTATTATTTCACGTTTTCTACACAAAATAGCTAACACACCGTTCAGAATTCCACCGCACCACACAATACGGCATGGACTACGTCCTAGGAAGAAACTGCCGATTCTTGCAAGGACCAAAGACGAATCCCAACAGTGTTCGGCGAATCGGAGAAGCGCTCAAAGCTGGGCAACACCACTCCGAGCTTTTCCTGAATTAGTATGTACCCAATTCATCCTACCCTGCAAAACTAATCCGAAAAAAGCCGCCGCGATGGCTCACCATTCATGAACCTCCTCCAAATGGCTCCGCTATGTGATAGCCGCGGTAAAATCCGCTACTTCATCGGCGCTCAGGTTGACGTCTCCGGGCTCGCCATGGAAGGAGCACAAATGGAATCCCTCCAAAACATGCGCGCGCAAAAAGAAACCCCCAGGACGGACGGCCAAATAACCAAAGAAACAAAGAGCCAGTTCCAAGAACTCGGTGAACTCTTCAGTCCGCGCGAGCTGCGGAACGTGCGCGAGCACGGCGGAACCCTCTTCCAACCGGTAGTCAACGAAGATCCCAACCATCGTCTATTCCTCCAAGACTCCGACACCGAGAACGACATCGACACCCAGTCCCAAGGTCTACCAAGACCCACATCGGGACCGACGCCCAGCCGGTCCTTGGCCGGTGTCTACAAAAACGTATGTCATTCATCCCTCCATACTCGGATATGGTATCGAAGACTAACAGAAGTAAACCAGTACCTCCTCGTCCGCCCATACCCATCCCTCCACATCCTCTTCACCTCCCCCTCCCTCCAAATCCCAGGCATGCTCCAATCCTCATTCCTAAATCGCATTGGCGAGACAGGCGCAAAACGCGATAATATCATCAGCGCTATGATGGCCGGGCGAGGCGTCACAGCGCGTATCAAGTGGGTGACCAAGTTCAACAACGACCAGGCTCGTCATCGCTGGATCCACTGTACTCCTTTGCTGGCGAGTAACGGCCAGGTCGGTGTGTGGATGGTGATTGTTATTGATGAAGAGGAAGAGGCAGTCAGATGGAAGGGTAATTGGCCGACTACTAATTAAATGGTCTCGCTATGTATATGTACAATATTTTGATCACAAAACTATCTCGTAAGTGTTGTAATACGCTAGACTTCATATATACGCATATAGATTTCCAGTAAACTGTCACGATATTCGGAAGCATGACTGTCTCGTCAGAATAGTCCATACAGCCATGATACGATGTAATTTCATGGCACTTTCTCTTACCGTGCTAGGATACTGCCAAGAATCAAAGAGCTGGATGATGCGATCAAGAATAACAATTCTACTAAATAGCTTGCAAGATGCTACTTGTCCTATATCTTACAACCTAGTCTGTATCTTACATATCCTAGCACTCGAGACCTTTACATTTCCGCTTTAGTGCTCACCCCTTGCCGCTTTAAAACTGAACACGTGAGCATCATCACGGGCCATTATATAACTAATCACCTGATCTGCTCACTAAGCATCATCATTTGCTCAGTGTACTCCGTAGGGATGGATGCGAATTCAATTTGCCCCTAGAAAAACATTTTGGACTCTGCTTTGTACATTGCAATTTGTTCCAGTGGATTAGATTGTGCCCGCTGCCAGCAAGTACCCGCCGTCGACGGCAATAGTTTGACCATTGAGGTATTGATTCGAGACGGTAAACAACACAGCACTTGCCATGTCTTCATCTTTCCCTGGCCGTCCGGCAGGGATTTTGCCTTCAAACTTTTCTTTGGGAATCGTGCTCTTTTGTTTATCGTCACTCTCCTTGGCCGTCATTTCGGTCGGAAAGACCCCGGGCGCGATATTGTTTACACGAATTTTGATTTGCGAGGAAACAATCTCGTAGGCCAACATCTTAGTGAGATGAACCGCAGCCGCCTTACTAGCGTTGTATGCGAAGTGATGCTGGGCTGTTTTGAGGAGACCTGAAATCGACGAGATATTGACAATTGTGCTAGACCAGCCATACTCATCCTCTGTTCCCTTATTCAGTAAGGGTAGAAAGGCAGTGGCGGTAAAGAAAAGGTGTGTGACATTGGTACGCATGACATCTTCCCACTCCTGGACTGTGCTCTGGTTTTTAAACAGCTCTTCCTGTAATGCTTTGGGGTTGTCCTGCTCTGTGTTCAGATGTGGAGAGCTAATACCGGCGGCGTTGATCAAAATGTGCAGTTTCGACTCCTTGGCGGATATCTCGTCGACTAGCTTCTGAATCGACTCCTTGGAGGTAATATCGGCAGCGATCGGGATAATCTGGCCAGGAATATCCTTGGAGTACAAATCTGCAACACGGTCTAACTTTTCCTCTGTGCGACCGGTGATGTAGACCTTAGCCCCATTCATGGCAAGAGCTTGAGTGGCCATCAAGCCGATGCCTGAACCTCCACCCGTAACAAGTGCGACTACCCAGTGTTAGCGACTCCAGCGCAACGGCAGGCCTGTTTCTATAATGGTAACTCACCTCTGTTTTTCAGCCCGAAAAGGTGTTCGAGCTTAAATTTCTGGTTACTTTCATGAGCGGACATGGTGTTTGTTCAAAAGTTCAATGGTATACATACTACTTGCCATACATCGCTCGTTATATGTTCTCCAACTTGCTAGTCTTACGTCATCCTAATGTCAGGCTTTACGATGATGGGTACTTGATGTAAAACAGGGAAAATGACGGTTTGGGGTAATTTATTCACTAAGAAGTCATTATGATGAGACATTGAAAGAATTACTCCGTATGATGATCAGAAGTAGGTACAGTTCCTTGCCAACATTGCACTTAACCTGTCTAAACCTGTCTAAACCTGTCTAAACCTGTCTGTATCTTGATCCTTACATTATGATCTAGAACTTCTAAGATCCATCGAGCATCAGCAGGTTTTCAGTCGGAGTGTCCTTGTATTGGTCGGATACATTTACTACGCCGCAATGATATGTTTGAACTACTTGATCTTTGTGCATGACATGTGCCAAGCCGCACAACTCGCTGGGTCTTAAAAACAGGCATCGAAGCTTTTTCTATTGCACTTAACGAATATAAATTCATGTACGCTTCGTGAAAAACGGAAAAATATTATATAATAATTTGGTTGAAAGTGAAAATAATGGCGCCCCATGAGCAAAACGAGCAGAGACTCATAATTACCTCAAATCGCCTTCCACTTTCCGTCAAACCCAAAGACGGCACTTACGAGGCGATTCCTTCCAGCGGGGGATTGGTGACCGCTCTAAAGGGATTGAGCTTTCATGCCTATCTATGGCTAGGCTGGCCCGGGGTCGATATCAATGAACGGGACAGAGAAAGCGTCGACAAAGCCCTGGCCAAAGAAAATGCCTCTGCAGTATACCTAGATGAGAACCTGGCTCAGAGTCATTATAATGGATTCTCTAGTGCGTGGCCTATATTCTCGGGTCTATTACTAAATCGCTGACTAGGCGTGTTTAGACGGTGTTTTATGGCCCACGTTACATTACCAGTCGGATGCATCCTTCGATAACGAGACATGGGACGCGTACCAGCGTGTAAATAAGATCTTCGCTGATCGAATCAGTGAAGAGGCGGCGGATGGTGATCTAATATGGGTGCACGATTATCACCTACTCCTACTGCCACGTCTATTGCGTGAGCGCCTGCATGCGCAAAACAAAAGATGCGCTATAGGATTTTCTTTGCACACCCCTTTCCCAGCAGATGATTTTTGGAGAGGCCTTCCTGTTCAGAAAGCGTTGCTCGATGGTGTCCTTGGTAGCGACCTCGTTGGCTTCCATACGGACGAGTATAAGACGAACTTCGCTGGCGCTTGCAGATCTCACATGTAAGGTCTGGGAAATAGCATTGAAATACCAAGTGACTAACTAATTTATTAGTGGTGCAGAAATTGAAGGCGACAATATCTACTACAACGACCGTACTATTAGCATTGATAAATATGTCGTTGGGATTGACTGCCAGAGATTTGCTGATGCACTCGATGATCCTGAGGTTCAGGCTGAAGTTCAGCAGATTGAAACCCAATATAAGGACAAAACGATCATAATCGGCGTGGACCGCATGGACTATACGAAAGGATTGCCCGAAAAATTGCAGGGCTTCCGAGTCTTCCTCGATCAATACCCTGAATGGAGTAAAAAGGTTGTGCTAATACAGATCGCCATTCCCAGTCGCGAAGATGTCAAGAAATACCAGGATTTGGAGGGGGAAGTGAGCAAGTTGGTGGGCCAAATCACTGGGCAATATGGTAAGTGGGTTCCCACTTCTGGTATAGGGTATGGCAGGTCTGTAGATTTCAAGCTAAATAACAATCAGCTACTCCCACATCGACACCATTGATCTATATTCACCGCTCAGTTTCTTTTGCGGAGCTTACAGCTCTATATTCGGTGTCTGATGTCTGTCTCCTCACTTCCCGCCGGGACGGAATGAACCTTGTTGCTTCCGAGTATGTTGCTTGCCAAGAGGCTCGACACGGTGTGTTGGTGCTCTCTGAGTTTACCGGTGCATCAGCCTTCATGAAACGCGGCAGTCTGTTGTTCAATCCTTCTAGTGCAGATAGCCTCTCAAATGCACTTTACGAGGCTGTTACAATGGAGAAGGAGGATAGGAAGAAGATGTACGAAGAGTTGCGGAGTTTTGTCACCACCAATACCAGGTTAGTTGTTTCCCTTCATCTTCTCAAATTTCCATCAGAGGTCCCTCAGGTCTCGTAATCAGCAAAACTAACACCCATTTCCCTTCAGTGCGAACTGGACGGAGACTTTCGTTGGGGATTTGACGAAATTGCAGAAATAGATAGCTTTTTAGAGTAGTTTTGACTCTTGAAATTGGTCAGAATCATTGGATTGCTTCACTGGTATATCTGACTGCCCCAGGAGGGCTGTTCTAGCGAGGACGTGGTACGACGTAAGCACTATCGGTTTCTAAAATCAAATTAAATAGTCCACGATATTATAGGCTAGTGGCCTCCGAGATCTTATGTAAAGTACTGTCAAGAATGGGATATGGCCCCTCTAGGCCATAAACAAGAACCTTGGTTATTGTTATGGTCTAGTGGTAAATTACGCTGCACCAATTCGTCAAGTGCAGCTTTATTTGATAAAGCCTGTCTATGATAGGCGCTTTTAGAGTGAAATTTATATTTACTTTGATACAGAATGGCCACTGAGATATTGAAAGTAAGATAGATTATCCAGATTCTGTTTTAATTTTGACTGTTCGATCTGAGGTTTGTCGCTCAACCGGCTGGTCCCGATTACATGACGTCGTCACTCCAGGTTAGTCGTGTGGCTAGGCATTCCACTTGGAATTTAAGATCTCAGTGACGGCCTTTCGCTAAGATACCCATCCACACTTTTTTCTCGATCCCTTAGGGTGCAACAACTTCTATGTCTGATAGCTTGGCCCTAGTGCTAGTTGGGGATGAAGGGGTTGGGAAAACAGCGCTTGCAGTGCGGGTTCGTCATGTATTTTCTCCTATTCTAACCGAGATAAACTAATTTCGAGTATAGTTCTGTTTAGAACAATACGCCGAGGGCTCAGAACCAACGCTGGATGATTCGTATCGCACGCGATTGGTGGTTGATGACCGGCCTTGTGTCCTCGAGATTATCGACACAGCGGGGCGAGATGAACATGCTGTGCTCCGTGAAGACCACATTCGCAATGGGGACGCATTTATCATCGCATACAGTATCACCTCGCGGAAATCCTTCTCTCACGTTCGAGCGTACTACAATAACATCAAAGATGTGAAAAGGGTCTTGGCGGAAAATACTCTACAGCTGCCGCTTTCTGAACGCCCCTGTCGCGTGCCTATCATCCTGGTGGGTATGAAGAATGATTTGGAAGCCCAGCGTGAAATCTCATTCGAGGAAGGACGGATATTTGGAGAATCCCTAGATTGCTGGTTTTATGAAACATCGGCTAAGACTGGCTCGGATGTAGAGAGGACGTTCCATGATGTTATTAGATGCTTTCGGCAACAGGATCTTCCCAGTCCTCCTACACAGCCAGCATCAAAGCAACCAAAGAAGGGCCAGAATGGGAGGAAAATCTATGACCCACGCAGGTGTATCACTTTGTAAATATTATAACCGTGCAGTATGAAGTCAGTTGTCATGCATAGTTTCGATGGATAATTGGTCTCTCGTAAACCGCATACCATTTAAAATCATCCCATGCAGAGCAGAGCAAGAAGCCGCGAATTCGGGCCTCATACACCATTTCGGCCAGTTGAAATTCAGCGCAAGGCATCCCCCTTTTGCTGGGGTGGTACTGTCACATCCTCGCATCGAGGTGCACTATCACTGAGGGTGAGGTTGCCGCAATTGCTCGACCGGTAAGTGCTAGTCTTAACAGCCGGTGTGAGAAAATGGGGGTCATGTCTGATGGGTCCTCGAAGGAATTTGGTATTGCGCAGTCGCAGGAGAGCCCTCGCGGTCTAAAGTGCCGACACCGTATTACTCACGGAGTCCGGTAGAGTCAGGATCGGTCAGTGGGGAAACCGAGCGTAGAGCATAGTTTACTAATGAAGAGGGGACCCTGCAACGGGGACAAAGGGGCACCGACAGCCCTGCCTGCGAAACAGGTGTGCGAGCAGAGTCGTCACTGGGAGTAGTACCCGCGACCTTGCTACATTATTTACCTAGGCACACAAATATCTACGGGTGGCTGTCCCAATCTCCCTTTCTTATATGAACTTGATTTATATCGTGATCTTCACTCAAATATGAACATTCCACAGTTAAATATGCACGAGAGCAATGCGCCTCCGCTCCTGGCCAATCACAGCCCACCTTTAACCGCCATACTTGTGCCGATCAGGGGACTGCGGGGCCAGGCGACTGAGGCGGCTCAGGATACTCTCTCCCATCACACTCATCAAACCAAACGACCAAGTTGAGAGATGGCACTGCTGAGAAGGTTGTCGCCTGCGGAGAGGGCGAGCGGCACGGACCGCAGCGACAACCCACTGCTGAAGGAACCACGGAGCCCCTTAGGGCCACGGCTGCTGAACCGCGACGAAGTTCCCTCGTGGTATGGCCATAATCCATACATACGAACGAATTATAGGCCAGTGACACCGTCAACGTCTCGGTGCCTTAGCAGCCTGCTGTACCTTCACAATGAGACTGTGAATGTTTACTCCCATCTCATCCCGGCTATCGTAACTTCGCTGGGCAATGGGCTTCTTTATTTTTATTTCACAGCATCTTTTCCGGATGCTACCGGAGTCGATCAGCTTGTTTTTCATATCTATTTGACAACTTCGGTCGTTTGTTTTGGTGTCTCGTCTGCATACCATACTTTTCTTTGCCATTCTGCCCCTTTCAGTGCTTTATGGGGTCGCTTGGATTATGTTGCTATTGTATTCCAGATTCTTGGTTCTTTTGTCTCCGGGATATATATGGGATTCTACTGTGAACCACATCTGCAAAAGCTTTATTGGTCAATGGTTCGTTGATGATCTCACCTTGTCGGTCATCTGACTAAATTTATGGTATACAGATTGGCACTCTTGGCTTCTTGACTGGGTTTGTCGTGGTGCATCCCCGACTTCAGAGCCAAAAGTGGAGACTATTGCGATTATCAACATTCGTCGCGACGGGACTTTCGGCATTTGCGCCTATCATCCACGCTGCTAGTATCTTCCCCTACGACCAGCTGGATCAACAGGCTGGATTGCGATATTACTACCTTGAAGGGCTAGTCATCGTGATCGGAGTCTTGTTTTACGCGGTGCGTTAATTTCCCATACTGATGCAGAATTGATCTGATTGGTGGCAGACACATTTCCCGGAGTCGTGGAAACCCGGAAGCTTTGACATTTGGGGATCGTCGCACCAGATATTCCACATCGCCGTAGTCATTGGTGCGACGATTCATTTGTATGGGATTTTGGTTGCTTTCCAGTGGAATTATGAAAATCAGCGATGCCACATTGGTTGAGGAGATGTATTCCAGTAGCTTACCTGTGGACTCCATCTCCCAGGTTGATAAGGGCTGGCCCATACCCACCTTCCCGGATTGGAAGAAGATCAGCTATACACACATGCAATGTACATTATGTCTAACCCTAACAACAACGTTGAAACTCTATACAGAACTAGCTTAGCTTGGCCGGATGCACCCGATACCCCCGCCCCTTGTCATTTCCACTTGCCACGTTTTTTCTCTTCTAGTCAAAACCCAAAATGGAGGGAAAAATCGCAGTCGTGAGTTGTCCCGTAGTTGCTAAGATCGTATCTAACACGGCTAGGATTCCGATTACTACACTCTGACCAAAGATTGGGAGCCTGAGGACTTTCAGTCGTGAGTTGCGGAAATCATTTCCACGGCGTTTTGGCCTTTAACCATATGTATCAGTGAAACCACATCTATCGCCTCGACAATCGCGAAGGGTCGGTTGGAAAATGGCAGACGGTGAGTAGCAGCCTGTGGAGATATGAGCTTTGCTAATAGTATGAGCAGATACCAGGCTATGAAGGAAGATGACTATTGGTCGGTCGCGATGCTTCAATGTAGGAGACTCGAGGCTAATCATAGCATACAGGAGTCCTTCCGATGACCAGCAATTCGAGGCTTTCGAAATTGGGTAAACACTCATTTTTTGCCTTTCGTTCGGTTCAAACAGCTTATCGGTGATACCCAGTCATATGGTTTTTCTCGTGCTAGACCATGACCGAGAGAACCCCCTCCACCACTCTCCCATCGGCAAATCTCCTAAGGTGAGAGAGCGATCTAGATTGATATCAACCTTTTACTAAGAGTACTCCAGCACATTCTGGACATTGGCACTGGTAAAGGAACATGGTCTATGTAATCACCCCACCTATTCTCTCCAATGAACCTCGCTAACATTCACCTAGTGATATGGCAGATATGTATCCATCTGGTACATACCACTTCCTTTCTTTTCTCCTTTGCGCCAGACTAACACACGTCAGCAACCGTCCGTGGCGTCGACATCTTCCCCCCTCCGGTGACATGGATGCCACCGAACTGCGTACTCGAAGTAGACGATGTCCTCCGCGAGTGGACCTGGAGAGAACCATTCGACTTCATCCACATGCGTCTACTGCTAGGAGCATTCACACCCGAGGGATGGGATCAAGTGTACAAACAGTGCTACGAGTGAGTCCCTCCATTTACACTTCCCTTGAAAAGTATCTAACCCCTATCCAGCGCTCTTACCCCCGGCGGCTGGATCGAACAAATGGAACTAGACGTGCGAGTGTACAGCGACGACGGCACCCTGAAAGAAGGCGGCGTTCTAGCCACATGGGGCGATAACTTCATCGGCTGCTCCGAGCGGGCTGGTCACTCCCTCCTAACGCAGGAGACAATGCGGGGCGCAATGGAGAAGGCCGGGTTTGTCGACGTGCAGGAAAGGTTATACAAGATTCCTTTGGGGCCGTGGCCGAAGGATAAGATTCTCAAGGAGGTTGGACAGCTCCAATATGCCCACTGGGTTGCTGCACTGGAGGGCTGGGCTATGTGGCTGCTCACTAAGTTTGGTGCGCCTTCGCCTTGGAGTAAAGAGGAGGTTCAGGTTTATCTGTCCAAGGTTCGGGCTGAGTTGAGGAATCCTCGTACTCATGCTTATGAATATGCGTGAGTCTGATATGTTACCCTGGGAGGTTATGTTGCTAATTGTGTTTAGTCGTCGAGTCTGGGGTAGGAAGCCTACAGCGGAAGAACTGGCCAACCCGGTCAAGACCGAGCCTAGTTCTTAAACTAGCATTGAACCAACTACTGTGTTTGCGTTTACCGAGTTCGTTTTGCGAAGCGAGTTTATATTTTGCATGGTTAAGTCCTGGGGCATGTTCGCCTCAGGCTACGACATGATTTTCTACGTATAGTACCAGAATGTGATTAGCTTGTCATTTATCAATCAATTTGTTAGGATTCAACCTTGGGCGTTTGCTCCACGATCAACTGAGCAGCCTTCTCAAACTCGGCTTCTACAATCAAGTTATCCAGCCCAGATCGTTCGACCTGCAATGGAATTAGCCAACCCTCAACAACTAACACGTCTACTGACCAGCTCCAATCCCTTTTCGGAATTAGTCCCCTGCAAGCGAACCACAACCGGACATTTGAAACCACCCATCTCAGCAGCAGCGGCAACAATCGCCTCGGCAATCATGTCACATCGCACGATTCCTGCCACTGATCAGCTCATCCCTATTGTCCACGTGTATACTCACCACCGTAGATATTAATCAAAATCCCCTTCACCCGTTCATCATTCTTCAAAACCTCAAAAGCCTTCGCCAAAGCCTCCTTCGTCGCCGCACCCCCAACATCCAAAAAGTCCGCACACTTCCCCCCATACAAACTAATCAGATCATTCGTCGCCATCGCCAGCCCAGCCCCATTAACAATATTCCCAATATTCCCCTCCAACCGAACATAATTCAGCCCCAATTCCGCAAGCCGATGCTCCTCCTCCTGCTCCGGCGCTCGTTCCTCCATTGCAAAAAGCCCAGGCTGTCTATAGCTCGCCGCATTATCAAACCCAAACTTCGCATCCAGACAAACGAATTCCCCGTCTTCAGTACGCACCAGCGGATTCAACTCCAGCAACGTCGCGTCTTTCTCCTTGAAAAGCTTGAACATCTGCACCAGTATCTGGTGGATATCCTCCATCTCGGAATCCGAGAATCCCAGCTCGGCTTGGAGATACTCGTCGATCTCGTCAGTGATACCAGTCGAAAGTCCGAATCGGAGTTTATGCAGCTTGTCGATATTCGACTCGATGTTTGTTCCGCCTGCCGCGGAGATGAGCAGCACGGGCGAGGCGTGCTGGCGGTCGAATGTCATAGCGAAGTAGAACTCCTGCGCGATGGAGATGGCTTTTACGATGTAGAGCTTGTCGACGCGGAGCCCGTCGGCTGGGGTTTGCGCTGTTGTTAGGTAGTACCCGAGCATGTTGGCGGCGTTTTTGAAGGCTTCGGTTGGGCTGGGTTTATTAGATGGTTCTGTGGTTATTTAGGATTAGGGGACTCACGACTCGACGCGTCGGACGCCGCTCTGCCCGTCGCTGCTGAATTTGCCTTTGCCGCGGCCGCCTGCTAGGATTTGGGCTTTCATCACTGATGGTCCGTCTGTGGGTGTTAGTTTTAGGATAGGGAATTGAGGAGGAGGGTGTGGACTTACTTATCACGGAGACGACATGCTTGGCTTGCTCGGGGGTTGTAACTAGGAATCCCGGTGGAACTGGCAGTTTGAACTAGGTTGTATAAGCATTGAGGTAGGCTGTGTTTGTGAAGGAATACTTACTTCTTGAAGCAGTTTGTGTGAGTGGTTTTCAAGCAGACTCAGCTGTCGTACTTGGGCTTTGAGAGGTGCATGGTGCTGCACGATGGTTAGTATCGTTTCAATCACTGCTAGATTGTACGAACCCGTTGGAAGGTGCGCGCGATCGAACGCCAGGTAATCATCGTGAGTTATATCTTTCATGCTAGGATGTGAACTCCGAGGCCAGTCTGAGGTTCGATTTATGTGTCTTGGGTTATTTAGGCGATGACATCAATGTATCGATTTTGGCTGGTTCCTGGGGTTGAGTTTCCGGAAGTTTATTTGATATGAGCGTCGCTTGACCGTGATGATTTCTAGTCTTTTTCGGTACAGGCAGGAGGAAGAAGGAAGCTTCAATATACAAATGCCAAATGATTATTATATGGTGGAGTCAATTAATGAGTTCTTCACACTATATTGCTCAATGTCAACTGCTAGCAAAATACGTCACTCATATCGAATCTTAATCCGTACACATCAGAGGAACAATATCGTTTAGGTGGTTTAACCTGCCATTCTCACATTTGTCCCCTTTTGCATCAATTTTATCGCAAATCTCATTGCCAATATGACATCCTTGCAATTAAAATATCTACTCTCCGACTCCAAGCCTGATATCTCTCCTAAGCAACGATACAAGATAACCTGCATGAGCCACATGAGAGCCATACTCTACGGCCAAAGTTGGTGCTAGTATATACACTATGGCCATACTGTAGATGCTTCTTGTAGTGCAACAGCCGTAATCCGAGCGGAGACTGGGTCCTTTAGGCTGTCGGTCCGTTCCGGGCCCATCGTTCGAAGAGGGTAATCTCCCGAATTCCTCTTGATAAAACGCCCATAGGAGTTCAAGGATAAACAATATCATTTAAGCGGGGTCCAGGGTGCCCTTGTGATTGCAGGGATTAGCCGTAGAACACATCACATTAGTGATAACTCGGCGCATCGCTTGTCAAAAGTGGGGGTGAGATATTTTAATCCAGTCGTCCCAAAGTAGTGTGTTGGCAAAACTAGCAGTTTCAGATTGCGCCGTTTGCTTGGCTTCTCGTATACAACATAGGTCCGATGGTAAATTCGCCAGAAGGTGGAAATTGGTGAATTGCTTTTTGCACATCGTCACGCGACCAAGTCGCACTGACCGCGGGGTTGATGCGATCGGCCGCATTGGGGCCATAGCGCTGTCATTGCAGGATTTAAGAGCCTCAATCTGTGCGCAAATTGTGGGAATGTTTCAGGGAAAATGTTGCTAGAACCTGTTATTGTTCTGAAATTCATTTTTTCTTGAAAGGTGGTATATTGCATCGTAGTGGCCCTAATAGGGATGTGCTTTTCGCAGGGTGACGAGAAGCCAGTAGATAAATCCACTAGTAACCTTTCTTTTCTTTGTTAGGCCCCAAATGCTGTATCAGTCTAAAGATAGTCTATGATGACTGTGTCCGTTGCCTCCGGGTGGCTGCAGGCTATCTCTCTGTACGAGTAAGACATGTAACCTCGACCACGGCATCTTACTGTCAAATTGATCAATTAGTCAAGTCTGTACTCATCTGATCGTTCCCAAAGTCTGACAGACACTAGGTACCAAGAATGTTTTAGCAGTGTTTCACGAGTACTCCGTATGTTGTATATCGTTATTATTCCTTCAAATGGAGAAATAAGGCCCCGCTTCTTTGGATGAACCCCGTGCTTTTAGACCCTTAACAGCCCTCACGTAAGCGACGGGGCGCATCTTGTCCCGAAATGAGACTTTCAATAGCCTCACGCTAAGAATTGTGCAATAATACCCGACCGGCCGAGTCGCGGAGAATCATACCCGGGTTCGCCTGGATGTATGCCATGGTCGATGCCTGTAGATAGCATTCCACGGGTGCCACGCGGGTAATCGGAATGCGCGCAGCGTTCATTCGCCGACACAAATGAAGTCTTGGCTTCGAGACAACGTATGGCCTGATAAGGTTAAACCACGTTGACTTGGGCGAAGGTGGAAATTGCAACGTGGGAGGCTATGCCTATTCGGGCTTAGTCAGGCGTGACCAGCCTCCAAGACACCATTTTCTCCCAATTCAGAGATTTCGATACAATTTCATATAATATCAGCGCTAGTGACGAGTTAGTGAATGCAAAATGAAATCATACAGAGATCGCCAGGGGTACGCACCACGGAGAATACACACAGCAGGTTTGGCTTATCACCGCGAGGCTTAGATAGGCGATCGCCCCTGAGAGCCCAGCCACCCAGTGGGCCTGACTTGGCCGACGCAGAGTTTCTGGCAAATCAAAAGGCAAAGAAAGCACATCTGATCGCTCGATTCTGACGTTGAAATTTGTTTAGAAATATAAGAAAATGGCCATTTCCTGCTGATGTTCCTGCAAATCTCCCTCAGTCATCCGTCACCATGAGGCAGTCGACACCCATTCTCTGGGTTGTCCAGGCTTGTCTAGTATGGCTGACATTGGTATCGGCATCGCCTGTCGGTTCTTCTGATCTGGTATCGGACGTCGCGCTTCAGGCCCGTGACACCAAGCCGTTTCCACTCCGGATTCTGCCCCTCGGTGCTTCTATCACCATGGGGTACAAATCGCCCGATGGAAATGGATATCGGAAATGGCTTCGACAGCAATTGCGCTATGCGGGGTGGGAGGTGGACATGATTGGTACTATGAAGAATGGTACGATGCATGATAATGTGAGTTACGGTTCTGTTCATCTTAAGAATATATACTGACTCTTCAGGACCACGATGGACACGTCGGCTGGAGAATCGATCGAATAGCTGATCATGCCAAGACGATCATCCCCCAACAACCTAATCTAATCCTCCTCAAGTGGGTCTCCGATTGCCGATGCCATCTCCTTGCATGCTAATATCCCCACAGCGCTGGCACAAACGATGCTCTACAAAACTACAAAGTAGAGACCGCCGGCGAGCGGATGGACTCTCTCCTCACCTACCTCTTCGACAACATCCCCAACACAACCATCATCCTATCAACCCTGACATACAACGGAAAGAAACCGAAACAAGGCGCATCCATCAGCTCGCAATACACGGAACTTGCAGCGAAACGCCGAGCGCAAAACGACAGCCTCGTCTTAGCCGATATGAGCACTTTCATTCGGTATAACCAATTAGTGGATAAGATCCACCCGACAGCCGCGGGCTACGAGGAAATGGCGTCCGTGTGGTGGGCGGCCATCCAACAAGCGGAGAAGGAGGGCTTTCTCAAAGCGCCAAAGACTACCTCTACATATAGTGGTACGATCAGCAAGGCCCGTGAGAAGGAACTCGATGATAGCACCGCAAACCCGAGTCTGCCTGCGTACACAGCCCCGGCTCAGCCTACCGTATCACTTGGTAGTGGTTCGCCTCGAGCCGAGTGGCATCTCTGGGCTGCGTTCCAGATTATGAGTATGTTCCCGTTCCTCCCTGTGTTT